CTTAAATTTGGAGCGAGTCATGCAAGCCAAAATGCATATGTTGAATTTCAAAGCAAAAGGGCAAGTAGGTGTTTAAGAGTTATGGTCCTTACAAGATACGAGCCAAATGCCAGAGAAACAGCCGCAACGATCACAGTGATGTCGTTCACACCCAGCCACTCAACCACTGCAGCAGAGATTACAGAGATGACAAGTCAAAATGGGAACTTTGTCAAAAATGAAGGATCAGAAAGAAGAATGAAAGAAAACAGAGCACAGTTGAACAGACGCACAAATCCACAATTAGAGAATAAGCTGTTGTGGTGCAATGCATTTATGGTAATTTAATGGTGTGTGTACTATAGTTAATACCAAAGCTACATATCTTTTCAAGAGCCACCTTGTCATGTACTCCGTCATTAGTTGTAGGATCAATATACTTTATTAGCTTCCTTGTGGGCTAAAGGAGCTGAGGCCCTTGAACCATACACAACTCAATTTTGGAGATTTTCAGGAATTGGGTGATTTTGTGAGTAGTTGTTAAAGTTAGAGGACAGCTTGTCCTCTCAATGTGTAATATGTACACTTTGTTTGCTGTTCCCATGTTAGTAGGTTATTTGGTACATATGTATTGTTTCATCACTGTCATCAATCTCATATTGCAGTGGCCTACAGTTCCATTTGGTTCTTGGAGATCGTTGAGTTTTATTATTGATGCAGCTATTCTGCCTAGAAAACCTACGGAGTATATGGTAAAGAATCGTTGCTTCTTATCCATAAAAAGAGAAACAACAACAGCAGCAGCAGCAGCAGCAGCAACAACAAAGCCTTAGTCCAAAATGATTTAGGGTCAGCTAACATGAATCATCATAAAGAACCGTACGATACAAAGAAAGGGAAGTTCAAGACAGTCCCATAGACTATAAAAAGCAGCTTTTCCCAAAGAAAATGCTTAGTCTTCTCAAATGAAGCCATTCTGCACAACGCTAATGTACATACGTAACTCTCATGTTAAAACAGAACCTTAGCCTTCTATATGCAGCTACTAGAAGATGGGATTTGCAGAGATTATTACCACAGAAAAAGACTTGCATATATGATCTTTGTAAGTCATTAACCCATTAGTATTATTCTTGCAGTACGATAAATCATAACCTCAAACATGAAAGTAAGGTCCTCTGTCCCTAACATGGGGAGACCTCCCTAAATGAAAAACCCACTTAATTGTCGACTCTTATTAAAAAGCCTCATGCACTGCTTCAATGGCCACTAAATGCAGACCAAGAATTGCATCCCCTCTACAAAAGCACACAAGGACTGCAACATGTAGGAAAGAAACTGCTCTGACCGGTTGGTTGATCACAACATTCTTAACAATCTCGTTAGCATTAGTAACTCTGATCTAAAAAGCTCCAGAAAAATTGCAAGGAGCTCAAGTGGCAAGAGTTCCTGTGATCATCCCTAATCTTAAGGCAGGGGTTTTTCATTCTTATCTTATGAGCCTAGCCTCGTCCTTAGTATGAACCGTGTTATAGGTGTTGCAAGCCCACCTCAACTACCAGAAAGGATTCAAAGGAATGGCTAAAGGAAGATCATATCCCCAAGGATATTCCTTTATCTTGTTCAAAATCCCATATGAATCACATATGTTAATCACCTTATTCTACCAACACTCCCCTCTCCCCCAGTCCACTAGCTAGTCCAGCCGTCGCCATATTGCCAATATGTGCACTTGACTAGCTAAATCTGTACACAGTATCCATCATTGTTCAAACATGTTTATTTGCTATAAAGCCTTGGAAACCTTTCTCCAATTTGTATTGTAACACACACTACACAACTACACTTCTAACTTCACTCTATCATGTCAAAAAGTGCCAGCAAATTATTAATCTACTTCCAAAACTCAAGCATAAAGAAGGTTAAAGAGAATTACTTGACATAATGAAAAACGTGACAGCATAAAATATGGACTGCGAATGGGACGATGGCATGCCAGGGTCCGATCTCACATTCGCAATCGGTCGCTCTTGATTTAAGACTCTTTTCAAAGCAACAGAGAGCACAGAGTTCAGAACAGAACCCATGGCAGCCCACACGGCTTCAGCATCATGTCTCCAAAGGAGGAAAGCGCCAAATAGAACAGAAATCACCCACTTACTCTGCATATCATAGATACATCAAACAATGCAATCATTTAAGTTACTTACTACCATTGTATCATATCAACACTAGCCAATGCATCAATGTTTTAGTAGAGTCCACTTTTCAATCAAAGCAAAATCACATTACTAAAACCTAAACAACATAAAGTAAAACTAAAAGTATTACTAAATTATTTCACCCTATTGAGATGCTGAGATATTCAAGAACAGAATTACTGTATAATAACCTAAACCCAGAAATTGAAGACTGAATTGAACTAAATAAGCAAAAAAATCAAATTAAATCAAATTGAAAAAGAAAAAAAAGCTCACCAATCGATTGAGAGTGGATTCAAATTCAGGAGAAAGAAGAAAAGAGCGAAATTTGGAAGACCCATCAAGTAAAACTTCTTGCTCAAGAACATTGATGTTTTCTTCACCATCTTCTGACCTTGAAGCAGGGATTTTTCGGAACTTTTCACCCATTACTTCTTCTCTTTCTTCTATCTAAGGAAATTGGGTATTTCCCAGAAAGGAAATCACAAGAAATTGTTGATTTTGGGGAAGAACAACGATGGTGAAAGGAAATGGACCAAGAAGGAAAGTTAGAATGAGTTGTAAAAAGATTAGATTTGGTTGGTAAACTTAAAATTTGGAAATGGGTCAAAAGATTTGTCGTTGACATTGGGGAATTTTAGATTTTTCAGCAACAAAGTATTGTGGTTAAAATTGTTTAATATGAAGAACAAACATAAACCCATATAAAAAATAGGTTGATTTCTTGGAAGGTTATTGAGACTTGAGAGTGTGGGATTATCAAGTTCGAACATGGTGGTTTTTTATTGTTTAATGTTGAATTGTTGACGTGTTGTAGTAGTACTTGTATTACTATCAAGTATCAACCACCTTGCGTAAACTCTATCGATTATGGTTGTGTGGCTACCAATTTTTTTATTTTTATTTTGCTAATCCATTCAATATATTTTTCAATCTTTTGTGGTTTATTTCTCGTAATAAGAAGAAAATTGGCTTAAGTCAGCCATTATAATAGTTTCCCAAAAAAACCCTAAAATTTTCTCTGTTTTCACTCTTCAAACCTAGTCACCACAGTAAAATTTAGGAACTGCCATTGATTTTTATCGATGGTAAGCCCCAAATTCTTCTTTAATTTAATTTTTTAGCAAATAAAGATCATCAACAGTATGGTGATTATAGTCAGTCCCATATAGGGTTTAGTATTGTTTGTTTTTAGTGTGTGCAGGGATACAAATTTGGAAGATCCGTCTTGTAAATTTGTGGAATTACGGGTATGTTGGTATAGGGGTGCAGATTTAGAAGATTCGTCTTGCAAATTTGCAGATCTTGATGACCAATCAAGTTTTATCACTTTTGCGACTATACATCAATGGAGCTCCGTCAAGAATAATGCAAAGACATCTAAAATTATCTAGGAGCAGTTCAGAAGCGATGCTATTAGTTTAAGGGTGTTTAACTCTTGTATTGAGAATTTAGATCTCTTAAGGGATAATTGTAAGTGCCGAATGACTATTATTATTTAATGAAATTACCCATCCCTATTCCATATACTTCAATCGTAATAAATTAGTTTATAGCAGGGGAATTATGGATTAATTTTTTGTTACATACGAAGTATATCTGAGTATGAGTTGACAATTTGGAGAAATGAGTTGTGTTTGCGGTTAGTTAGTTTTGGTATGCAACTCAACTAAAAGTTTATTAGCAGCCTTGGTTAGATTATTGTAGACATTTATTTATTTCATTCTCAATAATTTTGACCAATGTAAAGATGTTATAACTCTATTTTATTTCAAATTATTGCACTTAGGTTTCTATTAATAACTTCAAGGTTTAAATAGTTTAATATTTGAGTTGTATTGTGTTGTGTTAAAATTTGCCAAAATCAAGTGTTAGGAAATAACGGTGTAATTGTGTTTGATTGATGCGGAACAAGTCAATGAAAAATAAGAACGAGAAAAAGCAATAAAGAAGATAAACAAATAACACAAGGATTTACGTAGTTTGGTCAAATTAGAGCAACATCCACGGGTGAGGGATTCGAGAGCTTCTTCACTATAATGGAGAAAAAACGAGAGAATAATACAAGGAGTCTTAAATTTAATGGCTCAAAAAGGTATGATCTAATTGATCAACTAATGGGTCCTTTTATAACATAAGGAAACCCTAATTAAACCCTAAAATTGTTCCCTAAGTATACTCAAATAGCCGTCATAGAAAGATAAAATTTTAGAAAATATTCCACAAAACACATAAGCTTAAAACGGACCAAAAAAACGCCCAATTCGTCCACACACGGACGTGCACCCTTTGCGCACGGACGTGCTATGTCGAGCAATTCGTCAGCATCGTTCCAGCTTTGTCAGGTCTTCGTAAAATGACCATAACTTTCTCGTTTCTAATTGGAATTGGGCATATGACCTATCGTTGGAAAGCTCTTGAACCAAGCTATCACCTCCAACTTGATTTACCTCAAAATCACTTATAGTTTGAGAGATATATGCATTCAAAATCAGCCCTACTAGATTTCGAGTCACAATTTAACACCAAGTAAGTGCACCAAATTTTAGATATGTCAATAATATCATCAATAAAATTTATTTCAGGGTTTATTATACTAATCCTCAAGAAGTTTAGAGAGTATATCTTGGATCAAATACCTTCTAAATGACTTTTTAGTCAAAAACTCATTTTTCGTAATTGCTATAAGAAACTCAAAGAAGAGTGAGAATGGGTTGAAATGTTCACACTTTTCGTAATTGCTAAAAGAAACTCTCATAATATAAATTTGCATGAATGTCATTTATTTGCAAGTGTTTCATATATACTGTATATATATCATCAATCTTTTTTCAAAAACTTAAGAATAACGTATAATTGGAACGTCAGGCAACAGATTGCAAATGCCACCAAAATACAAACTTGAACCCACGCATTGGATTTGAAAGCTTGAGAAACAACAGAATTCCAGAGCCATAACCACGCGACTGAAAAACAGGAGCCCAAGACAACACCAACTATCACCTGGTTGATCGTGTGGAATTTTTTTGAGACTCGTAGCCACGACTGCACAATTGACCCCAAAGAGAAACTTAATTAGATTTTGTTCAGAGAAAGTATTTATAAGCCAAAATGCACAAGTTGAGTTTCAAAACAATAGGTGAAGTAGGAGTTATGGTCTTTACAAGACATGAACCAAACGCGAAAGTAACAGCAGCAAAGACCACGGTGATTTCGTTCACCCCCAGCCACTGAAACACTGCAGCAAACAACACATATTATAAGTCATAAAGAAAGAACAATAAAAGAAAACAAAACACAGTTGTTGAATTGACTACCTTAATATTTTAATGATTGACTTACGTAAAACAAACTCTGACTAATGATGTTTATGAGTCTTGGTTGAACAGAAAGATTCAGGTACACAAATACATGTTCCGGAGTAGGAACAACAGAGTTTGGAAGACTTGATGATGAATGCAAGCTTTCAAGATGTCCTCACAACTCTATATACTTAGTTACTCAGTGTACGAGCTTAAGAAACAAAAGTGTTGGAAGGAATGGAAGGAATTAAGAAGAAACTCGAAGTTCCTGAAGGAACCTGAAGTTCCCGAAGGAACTTGACGATTGACTCAGAAAGTTTTAAACGAAAGTTTTAAAACAGTTTTCATATCCCTTAATTTAAGGAAGTGATAAAAATCAGTTTTGAAAAAGATTTAAAAAGATTTTATAAATAAATAAATAATTCATTAATTTAAAAAGATAAGTTTTAAATTAATTAATTATTTATCTTTTAATTTATAAATAAATAATTATCTTTTTTATTAAATAATTATCTTTTGAATAAGTCTTTAACTGATTTTTAACTTGGTAAATATTGGCTGCTTAAATTAAGAAGCACGTTGAATATAAGAGTCAAACTAGGGAAATCATGTTCCTAAATTTCCTCTGCCTACATCCCAACTTCTCAGTCAAAGAGAACGTGGGATTAAGGGGGAAGTGGGAACTTGATGGAAGCTTGGTTTAACTCCTTATAAAAACAGATCAACGTTAAGTTTTGAAAGTGTGGAAAAACAATCTTAAGTATTCTGAGCATAGAGTTTCAAAGTGTTTAAAAGAGAAGTTTCTTCCATCCTTAGTCTCTTAAGTTCTTTAGGAAATACTTGTAATCATTGTGTAATTGGGTGAGACTTGAGAGAGTTGTTTACACTGTACAAGTGATTCGGAGTAGAATCACAAAGTGTGAGAAACTGTGATTAAGGGATCACAGTTGGGTAACTTGAGTTCCTCACGGAACTTGAGTCTAGGCAACGTATTAGTGATTGTAAATCATTTTTACATAGTGAATTTATTCATTGCCTATCTTAGTGTCTTTTCTCTTAGTAGTAGATTTAATTCCGCAAAATTTACCATAGTCTACATACACTACAATTCACCCCCCCCCTTGTAGTATACATTGTTCTATCAATTGGTATCAGAGCAAGGAACTTGGAAAAGCAGGAAGCCCTGTCGAGTCAAGTTCCTGGAGGAACAATGTCGAAGGACGAGAGACTAGCTGAAGGTTATTCTACACAAAGACCTCCACTCTTCAATGGGAAGTACTACGCCTATTGGAAGACGAGGATGGAGATGTTCATACAGTCCGAGAATTATCAAGTCTGGCGAGCTATCGAGGTAGGAGATTACGAGGTAACAAAGACCAATGCAGAAAACGAGGTAATTCCTAAACCTATTTCTGAATACGATAGAAGCGACTTTGAGAAGAAAGAGATTAATGCTACTGCTAAAAAACTCCTAGTTTGGGGTTTAGGGCCAGATGAACACACTCGTGTTATGGGATGTAAAACAGCAAAAGAAATATGGGATTTACTAGAAATAACCCACGAAGGAACTCATGAAGTTAAACGTTCTAAAATTGATATACTGCTTTCTAAATATGAACGTTTTGAATGGGTTCAAAAGAAACTATTCAAGAAATGTTTACTCGTTTTAAAAATATTACTAATGAATTAGTTTCTCTTGGTAGAGTTATTCCTATGGATGAACAGGTACGCAAAATTCTAAGGAGTCTTCCTGAAGATGAACGGTGGAGATCCAAAGTGGCAGCTTTGCAGGAATCAAAGGACTTTACAACTTTCAACCTTGAACAACTTGCAGGTTCCTTAATAACTCATGAGCTTCACCTATCAAACAAAAGCCAAGAAAGTTCAAAGAGCCGAGGAATTTCTCTAAAGGTTGTCCAACCAAGTGAAGAGGATTCCGAATCTGGAGAGGAAGAAGCTGCCATGCTAGTCAGGAAGCTAAAAAAATTGTACCGCAACAAAAGGTTTGGTGACCAAAAGAAAAGGAACTTCAAGAAAAACCAATATTCCAAGGAAACTGGAGGATGCCACAAATGTGGGAACACAGATCACTTCATCAAGGAATGCCCTCTTTGGGAATCAGAAAAAGGAAAAGGCAAAATGAAGGAACACGGAAAATCTAATACTCCAAACTTTTCAAAATCTGATTACAGGAAAGCCATGATAGCTGCGTGGGGAGACACAAGTTCCGAGGATGAAGAAGAATCCACGGAAGAAGAGACGGCAAACCTGTGTTTGATGGCTAAACACAGCGAGTTTGCTAAAAAGTCAGAGGAGGTAAATCTCGAACCTAAATTTCTGAAATCCCTGTCAAAAGACAAATTAATTTCTTTGCTCATAGAAACTTTGGATGAATATAAAGAAATATGTCTTAAACTTGGACAAAATGAAAAAGCTCTAGAAATCCATAAGGATCATATGAAATATTTGAATAGTTCAAGAACAGATGTTCAGGGAAGATTCTTTGATTTGCTAGATAGAAACTCTATGCTAAAGGAAACATTGGAAAGAGTCAAAAATGAAAATATCATGTTAAATGTTGAATTGACTCAGTATAAATTGTTATTCACTAACATTGATTCTAATAATGCTCTTCAATTGCCTTTAGTAACCTTTAATGATGATCTTGAAAATTTGAAAAAAGAATTGCAGGTTACTAAAGACAAAAATGAATCCCTTGAAAAGGATTTAGAAAGAGCTAGAAGCAACAAAAGTGCAATCCACATGGGAGTTCCAAGGTGGATATCCGAAGCTCAAACCAGAAGGACAGAGGGTTTGGGTTTCAACCACAAAAAGAAGAATAGTGGTAAAAAGAAAAAGTACGTGGAACTCCCTATTGAGACTGTGTGTTCCTTCTGTGGCAAGTCAGGACACAAAGATATTGATTGCAAAAGAAAGGAACTTAAGTCCACTAAAAATATAGCTTATGTATGGCAAAAGAAAAATGAGTTTGCTGTATCAACAAAGGAACCCATGAAAGATGGGGTTCCTGAATCTAACCCTTAGTTTCTTTTGCAGGTCGTGGTGAGGGGGAACAACCAATGGTACCTCGATAGTGGTTGTTCCAAGCACATGACAGGAGATAAATCAAGATTTCTCTCACTGACGGCCTATACAGGAGGAACAGTGACCTTTGGTGATAACAAGAAAGGCAGCATTCTTGTCGTAGGAAAAGTTGGAAGGTCAAGTTCCCAAGCTATTGATAATGTTTTTTTTAGTCGAGGGCCTCAAACACAGCTTATTAAGCATATCACAATTTTGTGATAAAGGAAACTCTATAAGTTTTTATTCTGAAAAATGTAGCATCATTCAGAATGACACTGGGAAAGTTTTGCTGGAAGGAACTCGGAAAGGAAACACTTATACAGTGGATCTCAATACAGTTTCGAGGAACAACTTAACTTGCCTCAATGTCATTGAGGATGATCCTTTACTGTGGCATAAACGTTTTGGTCATGCAAGTTTCTCTTTGATTGATAAGTTAAGAACAAGGAACTTGGTAGAGGGACTTCCTTCAATCAAGTTCCTATGTGACAAAATTTGTGACGCTTGTGTGAAAAGAAAGCAGGTCAGGACATCCTTTAAATCCAAGAAGATGGTGAGTTCCACGAAACCCTTAGAGTTAATTCATATGGATTTATGTGGTCCTATTAGAATTCAAAGTAGAAGTGGAAAGAAGTACGTCTTAGTAATTGTTGATGATTATTCTAGATTTACATGGGTTATTTTTATGTCTAGTAAGGATGAGACTTTTGACGAGTTTGTTACATTTTCCAGGAGATTTCAAAAGTCCACAGGTCATCAACTGATACACCTTAGATCCGATCATGGCACTGAATTTGAGAATTTTAAATTTGATGATTTATGCAGGGAACAAGGCTTAAGTCATAATTTCTCAGCTCCAAGAACTCCACAACAAAATGGAGTTGTGGAAAGGAAGAACAGAACCTTAGAAGACATGGCTCAAACCATGTTAATAGCCAGCGATCTTCCAAGAAACTTTTGGGCAGAAGCCGTGAATACATCCTGTTATATTATAAATCGTGTCATGCTAAGGCCTATATTAAATAAGACACCCTATGAACTGATGAAAGGCAGAAAACCGAACATATCTCATCTTAGAGCATTCGGTTGTAAATGTTTTGTACATAATAATGGTAAAAGAAACATAGGGAAATTCGATGAAAGGAGTGATGAAGCCGTATTTCTTGGATATGAAACTAACAGTAAAGCGTATAGAGTTTACAATAAACGTACTATGTGTGTTGAGGAAAGTGTGCATGTTATATTTGATGAAACTAATCCACTTCCATGTACACAGGAACATGAGAACTATGACTTTGAAATTGGTCTAGTACGTTCTCAAGAACAAGAAGAAGATGCAATAATTCCAAATAAGCAGCCAACTCGAGTAAATGAAAATCATGAAAATCCGGAGAAGGAACTCGACATACTGACTGAAGTTCCTTCGACAGAACAGCCTCAGATTGAAAAACCTGCCGAGGAACCAATAACACAAGAGGAAATCACTGAAGAAGAAGCAACTGGCTCAGAAAATAAGAATAGTCGAGTTACTATCCAAACCTTCCAGCCCAAACCTTGGAAGCACCAAAAGTCACACCCACTGGACAAAATTATTAGTGACTTATGCAAAGGAACTCAGACTAGATCGCAAATGAGGAACTTCTGTGCCTTCAATGCTTTTCTATCTACTTTGGAACCTCGCAACCATAAAGAAGCCTTAGAAGACCCTGATTGGATTATAGCCATGCAAGAGGAACTTAATGAATTCAAAAGAAATCAGGTATGGCATCTTGAACCTAAGCCACTAGATAAAAAGGTCATAGGTTTAAAATGGGTCTTTCGAAACAAACTTGATGAATATGGTACAATTGTAAGAAATAAGGCTAGGTTGGTTGTAAAGGGATATAACCAACAGGAAGGTATTGATTTTGAGGAAACATTTGCTCCTGTTGCTAGACTTGAGGCTATTAGAATTTTAATATCTTTTGCTGCTTTTATGGGTTTTAAACTGTATCAGATGGACGTAAAGTGTGCGTTTTTGAATGGTTTATTAAAAGAAATAGTTTACGTCGATCAACCTCCTGGATTCGAGAATCCAAACTTTCCAAACCATGTTTTAAAACTTGATAAGGCTCTCTACGGGCTAAAACAGGCTCCAAGAGCATGGTATGAAAGATTGTCTAAGTTCCTTTTGGAAAATGATTTTAAACGAGGAAAAATTGATAAAACTTTGTTTTTAAAATCTAAAGGAACTAATCTCTTAGTTGTACAGATCTATGTTGATGATATTATATTTGGTGCAACTAACGAATCTTTGTGCAAGTACTTTGCTGACTTGATGTGCAGTGAGTTCCAAATGAGCATGATGGGGGAACTCAATTTCTTTTTAGGACTACAGATCAAACAAACAGAATCAGGAATATTTATACATCAGCAAAAATATGTTAAGGAACTCCTGAAAAAGTATAACCTTGACAGCGCAAAGACTAACCACACTCCTATGGGAACTAACTCTAGATTAGACGAAGATCCCTCAGGAACTTGTGTGGACCAGACAAAGTACAGAGGTATGATTGGTTCCTTACTATACTTAACTGCAAGCAGACCTGCCATTTCTTTTAGTGTTGGTCTGTGTGCTAGGTTCCAATCAAACCCCAAAGAATCGCATCTAACAGCCGTCAAGAGAATACTGAGATATCTCAAAGGAACTGACGACTTGAGTTTATTCTACCCAAGAAGTGACACATATGATCTTACTGGATTTTCCGATGCCGACTATGCTGGGGATTTGGTGAATAGAAAAAGTACATCAGGTATGGTCCAATCCCTAGGATCTTGTTTAGTTTCTTGGAGTTCCAAGAAACAGAATACAGTTGCTCTATCCACAGCAGAAGCAGAATACGTAGCAGCTGCTGCATGTTGCTCACAACTGTTGTGGATAAAACAACAATTACGTGATTTTGGCATAGTTCTTGAATGTGTTCCAATATACTGTGATAATACAAGTGCTATTTGCATATCAAAAGATCCAGTACATCATTCACGTGTAAAGCATATTCATGTTAGGCATCATTTTCTAAAAGACAATGTGGAAAAAAGCTCTATTAAACTAGAATTTGTACAAACTGAATATCAAATTGCTGACATTCTAACAAAGCCTTTGAGTAGAGAAAAATTCGAAAAGATGCGATTGGAACTCGGAATGATAAAGCTGAATTGAGCAGTTCTTCTTAGAACCCCAAGGTATGTCTTAGTGAAACGACTGAGCATTGCTATATTTAACCTTGGTGTGAAAAACATAATCTTGAATCTTGCAATGAAAGAGTGTGCAATTCTATTTTGTGTGTGATCATATGATTATGTCGATGAAGAAGACAAATTGAGCCATGTTGTTTCCAAGTTCCTTTTGCTAAAGTTACAAACCTCTGTACATGTCAACTAGTAGATCACCTCACGTAATTTACTGGAAATTTTCTTTCGTTATTTTCCATTTTTATTTATCTTTTTATTTTTGTAATTTTCTTATTGTTATCTTTTTCTATTTTTTTTATTATTATTCTTCCTATTCAAAAATACAAAAATATTTGTTCTTATCTTATTTTTTCTTTATCTTATTTTCATCTTCATTATCTTTATTAATCCTTTAATTTTTTTTTTATCCTTGTTTAATTTTTTATTTTTGTTAAGTTATTGTTTGATATGATTGCAAAATAAATTATCACCCACAATTTACCCAAACCCACTTCTCCATAAACCTAAACCGTCACATCACATCAATACCACTACTCCATAATTCCCTCTCTCCCCATACACTCAACCCACATTCACTCCACCTAAATTCAAGTCACCTAAAACCATCAGTTCACCAAAACCATCCACCTTCACCTCTTCAAATTACCACCAAACCTTCATAAAAACCCTACCGTAACAACCCAATCAAAACCCACCTTCAATTATCTTCTTCTTAGCCAATACAATGCAAATTAATTTCCCTTCATTAATGATCATCCACCTTGAGTCATAAAGTAGAAAATGGTGTAACATTTTTTTGTTAAAAACCCGAGGGAACAAACTGAGGGGGAATCAAATATTGTTGAAGAAGATGAGGCCAAAAGTGGGGCTGATCTTTGTGAGGGAGAAGATGAGTTAGAAGAGGAAGTTGATGTGTATAAAAAAAAAAAAAAAAAAAAAAAAAAAAAAAAAAAAAAAGCGAAATACAGAGGAAGTAATGAGGGAAAAAGTTTAAGGAGATTGAGGAACAGAAGGAGACAAAGGATATGATGGCGAAGAAGGGATGAAGTTCACATACACTTAATTCATCAATCTGACTCAGAGGACAAAAATCCCAATGACATTCCTAACCACCATGTTCCTTTTTCAAAAGAAACATCCCCAAGTTCCTTATCCTGACCTACTTAGTTTCTCTCCATTTGGCTTTACTGCATTTCGTGAATATCTACCCTCGCCCAAACCTAAACAACCTCCACAACACCCTCAGCCTAACCTTACATCACTTAGCCTCTTTTGCAATTTATATTGAACATTGATGTTTTTGTTTTAATTTTTATTTTCTGTTTTATCTAGCACAATTTTTTTTCTTTCGGCTTGTACTAATGGAACTGGCTCAGTTTTCTCTTTGGAATTGACATTCTCATTTTGGTTGCATATGAACTGTGTGCGCATGCTTAATCGTTCATGAATTCAGATTTACTACTCCCTCCGTAGTTTAGTACTATATATAGCATGCTCTTTCTATCATTTTGATAATGTCAAAAGGGGGAAGAGAAGAACAAACTCAGAAAGCTGGACTCAAACCGATTCCCTTCAAGTCTTCATCATTTAAGTAAAGGTATAAATTTCACAATTTATTAATTTCATGAATGATGCAGACTTCTTTATCCTTAGTTTATTTTATTGCTTTAAATAATTTAATTGTTTTATTTAAGTATTGGTTACTCTGATTGCTTGGATGTTTGTTTTGTTTAACCGAGTTTGTTTTTGTTTGTCATCATCAAAAAGGGGGAATATTGTTGAATTGACTACCTTAATATTTTGATGATTGACTTACGTAAAACAAACTCTGACTAATGATGTTTATGAGTCTTGGTTGAACAGAAAGATTCAGGTACACAAATACATGTTCCGGAGTAGGAACAACAGAGTTTGGAAGACTTGATGATGAATGCAAGCTTTCAAGATGTCCTCACAACTCTATATACTTAGTTACTCAGTGTACGAGCTTAGGAAACAAAAGTGTTGGAAGGAATGGAAGGAATTAAGAAGAAACTCGAAGTTCCTAAAGGAACCTGAAGTTCTCGAAGGAACTTGACGATTGACTCAGAAAGTTTTAAACGAAAGTTTTAAAACAGTTTTCATATCCCTTAATTTAAGGAAGTGATAAAAATCAGTTTTGAAAAAGATTTAAAAAGATTTTATAAATAAATAAATAATTCATTAATTTAAAAAGATAAGTTTTAAATTAATTAATTATTTATCTTTTAATTAATAAATAAATAATTATCTTTTTTATTGAATAATTATCTTTTGAATAAGTCTTTAACTGATTTTTAACTTGGTAAATATTGGCTGCTTAAATTAAGGAGCACGTTGAATTTAGGAGTCAAGCTAGGGAAATCATGTTCCTAAATTTCCTCTGCCTACATCCCAACTTCTCAGTCAAAGAGAACGTGGGATTAAGGGGGAAGTGGGAACTTGATGGAAGCTTGGTTTAACTCCTTATAAAAACAGATCAACGTTAAGTTTTGAAAGTGTGGAAAAACAATCTTAAGTATTCTGAGCATAGAGTTTCAAAGTGTTTAAAAGAGAAGTTTCTTCCATCCTTAAGTTCTTTAGGAAATACTTGTAATCATTGTGTAATTGGGTTTGGGTTGTGAGAGTTGTAAAGTGTGAGACTTGAGAGAGTTATTTACACTGTACAAGTGATTCGGAGTAGAATCACAAAGTGTGAGAAACTGTGATTGATGGATCACAGTTGGGTAACTTGAGTTCCTCACGGAACTTGAGTCTAGGAAACGTATTAGTGATTGTAAATCATTTTTACATAGTAAATTTATTCATTGCCTATCTCAGTGTCTTTTCTCTTAGTAGTAGATTTAATTCCGCAAAATTTACCATAGTCTACATATACTACAATTCACCCCCCCTCTTGTAGTATACATTGTTCTATCAACAGTTGAACAAACCAGCAACATACTGAGAGACATCTAACAGCAAAATATCATAGTTTTTTCTAAAACTCGACGTAAAGAAGGTTCGTTGAATTGAAGGGAATTACTTGATAGTATGAAATACATGACAGTATAAGAGATATATTGCCCATGGGATGACGGTATGCCAGGGTCCGATCTCATGTTTCCAGTCGGACGCTCTTGATTCAAAATTCTTTTCAAAGCAACACACAGCAATGAGTTCAGCACAGAACCTATGGTAGCCCACACAACTCCAGCATCACGTCTCCAAAGGAATACAACAGCAAATATAACAAATATCACCCATTTGCTCTGCATATTATTGATGCAACAACCGTGTAAGTTACTTATTAATCAAAAATTAAGGGTATTACGTCCATATAAACATTTGCCAATGCATCAAATGCTTTAATATTGCCCTTTTACTTAATATCAAAACAAAAATTTATATTTAAATCCTAAACAACATTGAGTAGCTAGTATTGCAACATTTACACTTTTGACAAATATTTTTTTTTTCTTCAAATAAATATGCTCACCAAACGATTGAGAGTGGATTCAAATTCAGAAGAAAGAAGAAAAGAGCGAAATTTGGAAGACCCGTCAAGTGAAACCTCATGCTCAAGAATTTTGATGTTTTTTTCAATATCCTCTGAATTTAAAGCAGGGATTTTTATCAACTTTTCAGCCATTATTCTTCTTTTGTTCTTTCTTTAACTTCTATTATGGAAACTAGTATGTGTTTATGTTTCTTAAAAACCAAATCACAACAAAGTAGCAATTTTAGGAGAAAGTGGAACAATGGTTTATGGAAATTGAACATTAAGGTAAGTTGGTATATAAGTAGTATGTAGGAGGGAAAGAATTGATGAATTTGTTGGGTCAAAGGATTGGTCTATTAACATGGGAGAATTCAGCAACAACAAAAATATATTAAAGCTTAAAATTGTTGTAATTGAAGAATAATCAATATCTAGAAATGATTTTGTTGATAAATGTAAACCCATTTTAAATACAGTAATTACTTGATTTCTTAGAAGACTATTGAACATGCAGGAGGATGATTATAATAATCATCAAGTTAAAACATGGTGGTTAGTATTTAATTGTTGTACTTTAGTTGATTTTTTTAGAAGACTATTCAAAATGGAGTATGATTATAATAATCATCAAGTTCGAATATGGTGGTTATTATTTAATTGTTGTACTATGGAGTATAAATGTATAATGTTTGAGACCTTGTGTACTGTGTACGTGTAACTCTATCAACTTCGAAATAAGATTTTGTATTATTTTTTTTTTTTTTGCTAATCCATTCAACATCTTTTGGGATCAATATTTTAAATCAACTAGTGTACTTTAATTAATAGAATGTGCAAACGTTTTATGTGTGCAATAGTTTTATAGAATGTACACAAAGCATCAATCTTTTAATACGGGCCTAAATCTCATCGGCAAGTAGCTAAGCTAGATGTTATCTACACCCTTGTTTGGAAGCTACTTCCTCCATCCCTATTATTGTTGCCTCATGAATCTTTATCCATGAATCTTCGTTAATTTAGAGATATTATAGTCATGTGTGATCTTGTTGGATTTGTCTTGTATTATAAATTTATTAATATTTAGTTTTTATAATTTTTACATGTATGAAAATGGAGATCTATACGTTTTAAATGCATTTTGAAGACTGAAAATTCAAATGGTGCAAAAAAATAAAGAGGGAATAGCTGATCTAATAGTGTTAGTTGATTATGTTAGCTAGTTTGACTAACCGATGATGTTATTTATTTTGATAAGCTGATTGTGTAAAAGTGTTTAGTAAATAATTGCCAACTGTTTGTATGGAGTATGTAGTAATAGTTTAATAGCAAAATGTCAATAGACTAATTTCTAAAAGTTCCTATTATGAGATTCAAAATAAGTTTTTTTTTTTTTTTTTTTTTTTTTTTTTTTTTTTTTTCTCATTGTTTAAAACGTTAAACCCCAAATCAACTTTTTCATTACGGTGAAGCCTAAATTTATGACCAAATCCCGTCTACATACTTATTTATACTACGAAGTACATGGTTAGGATTTTTGGAGCATCATAAAGGTGTGAACTTCTACTTCAAGAATGTCATCAGATTGCTTGTAACCATAGAATAGACACGGAGAGAGCATTAATTAATTTCAAGTTGTATTATTATATTGACAACAACTTGTATTATTATATTTGTCGAATGGACACTAACTTTTCAATTCCTACCTGCTAAAATAAAGAAATTCCCATGCTGTAAAATTACATGAATGTCAGTTATTTTCAAGTTGTTTATACAATCATGGATCTTTTCTAAACCACTTAACTGACTTTAGTATAACGTATAATTGGAATGCCAAGCAACACATAGCAAATGCCACCAAGATGGAAACTTGAACCCACAAATTGGAATTGAATGCTTCCGAAACAATAGCATTCCAGGCCCATAACCATGCTAGCGAAAAGCAGGAACCGAAGGCAGCACCTACTAACACCTGGTTCATCGTGTGAAATCTTTGTAAGACTCGTAGCCACGACTGCACAATTTACCCGAAAAAGAAACTAAGATTATTCTGGCACGGTGGAAGTATATATATATATATATATATAAACCAAAATGCACAATTATAAGTTGAATATCAAAACAAAAGGCCAAGTACTCGTAGGTTTAATATATGGTCCTTACCAGATATGAGCCAATCGCTAGGATAACAACTGCAACGATCACCGTTATTTCGTTCACCCCTAGCCACTGAAACACTGCAGCAAATACAGCAGAAGAGATGATCAGCAAATATACCAATTCAAAAGCTTAAATCGATGGTAGGTTGAGGCTCAGTATTATGTTATATACTCTATCAATAATAAAGGAATAACAAAAAGCATAATAAAAGAGACCAAATAAGTAGGCCTTATTTATGTAATTTTTACAAAGCTCAAGACATAAAGAAAAGGTTGAAGGGAATTACTTGAGAGAATGAAATAGATGACAGCATAAAAGATGTATTGGCCATGGCACGACGGCATGCCAGGGTCCGATTTGGTGTTGCCAATCGGACGGTCTTGATTCAAGATTCTTTTCAAAGCAATACACAGCAAAGAGTTGACAACAGAGCCTATGGTAACCCAAGCGGCTTCAGCATCACGTCTCCAAATGAATACAGCGGCAAATATTACAGTAATCGCCCATTTACTCTGCATATCAGTCATACATACAACCATGTAAGTTACTTATCAATATAAAATCAATGACATTGTATTCATATCAACATTAGCCAACATTAATAATGCACCAATGCTTTAATGTATCATATATGTTGTCCTTTTTCATTCAATCAAAGCAAAATCATACTTGTATATATAACTACACAGCATAGAATAAAATATACACCTATCTTCGTCCCTCAAAAATGCATGGCAATATTTACTCTTTTGACACTATTAAGTTATTCTTCTTTAGCCACGTCTTGTGAAAAAAAAAAAAAAACAAAGAGAGATTATGTCGAGTCTTGTTGGATTTTATCTCAATAAACTTTAACTGTATCAACTTTTTATAATCTTTACTAATACCTAATTAATGATATCTGAAGTTTAAATTGTATTTTGAAAAGTGTAATTCTCTAGTATTGCACTAAAGAGATTTTAACCTAAAAAAGAAGCTCACCAATCGATTGAGAGTGGATTCAAATTCAGGAGAGAAAAGAAAAGAGTGAAATTTGGAAGAGCCATCAAGTGAAACCTCATGCTCAAGAACATTGATGTTTTTTTCAACATGCTCTAACTTTAAAGTAGGAATTTCTATGAACTTTTCACCCATTATTCTCCTTTTTTCTTTCTTTCTTTCTACTTTAATTTATGGAAACTATGTGTTTATATCTCTCAGAAAGAAAATCACAAGAAAATAGCAATATTCAAGAAAGAAGAAGATGTTCAATGATAGATGGAAATGTAACAAGGTAAGTTAGTATAAATAGTACTAGTGGTGAAAGGATTAAATTGTGGGTCAAAGCATTGGTCGTCGAAATAGGAGAATTTAGCAACAAAAAAATGTGTTAATTAAAAGCTTAGAATTGTTTTTATATGAAGAAGGATAATTCAATTATTAGGAAATAGGAATGATTGAGTTGATAAACGTAAAACCCAATTTTAAAACATTTTAGTTGATTTCTTGGAAGGTGTTTATTGATCGAAATTGGATAAGGATGATTAAAATAATCAACAAGTTCGAACATGCATGGTGGTTATTTAGTTAACTGTTGTAGTATGAACGTATGCTGCATAATATTTTATATTTGAGAACTGAGAACTTGTGTATAATATAAGTGTAATTCTATCAACTAAGATTCTTGAAATAAAAAATATAAAAAAATTATCTATCAACGTTTTGTTATTATTATTTTTGTTTTAAATTGCTATTCCATTCAACATTTTCTGCGATCAATAATTTCAAATAAACTAGTGTAGTTTATAGTTTATAGAATGTGCAATTCTTGTATCATGACTATAGAATGTGCAATTCACGAGTACATTAATGTATGTATTTTAATCCTGCCTTGTTTAAAAAAAAAATGTACGTATTTTAATCTAGACGTAGAGTTGACATTCTTGACAATATGGATAAATGAGTTAATTTGCTTTTGGTTGATTTTGAATGCAATTTATATCAACGTAAATACAAAGTGTATGTTTTTTCAAACATAAAGAACGCTAAATACAATTATTTCAGATCAGATTCATTCTCATGTCTTGACTTGTTATTACCCTTAACTAGTTAAATTAGGTATTTACAATCCAAAAATGCTAAAGATCACAAGTTGTGGCAAAAAATATGCGTCACACAATATTAAATGGTGGATGATGTGTACTGGAATGAACAGTGAGGTGACGGGTAGGCAAATGAGAAAGAATGGTGAGGTGACGGGTAGGCTAATGAGAAAGAATGGTGAGGTGGCGGGTAGGCAAATGAGAAAGAATAAAAATTCCAATATTATATATTAGGAAATTATGGATTCCTAACATAAAATATGGAGTAAAAAAATGTTTAAATGAATAATAATATTACTCGTAAAAAAGATATTAATGATCAAACATATGCCTCAGAATACATGAAAAGTACTAGTGTGTCATTCAAAAAAAAAAGAAAAAAAAAATGTCAAGTAGAATCCTCAAACTCTATCCCTTGGAACTTGGAAGATAAACTTTGCTTTCTCACTTTGGCACCTATGGAACAGAAGGAATTCCTGGATTTTCAGATCCTCATCGAACCATCCCCCTTAATGGATCAGCAACAAGAATTCCGAATTTATAGTAATAGTTTAATACATACCTATTTTTGTTTTTCAAAAAAAAAAAAAATCATCGAGATCATCGTTATAGAATTATTTAGAGTATTAAGACTATTTTCATGTTAATACTCTCAATTTGCTTAGGTAATGGTGTTGCATTTTTGGTTTATTAAGTATTAGAGCAAGTAACACAATTTATACATTGTATAAATTGGGTCTAAGGTTTTAATCTAAAAGCAAGAAATTAAAGTGACCGTTGTTTTCGTGATTGGTTACATTATCTGCTTTGGGTATAAGTGAGTAATCTTGAGTTTATGATTATGCCGAAAGTCATGGCTTCCGTTACCAATTTTATACTCCCTAATAATAGTAGTATCTTACGTTATATTATACTCCCTAATAATAGTAGTATCTTGCGTTATCAATTCTTAATGCCGTTATGCAAGTTATAATATTGTACCATGCAATATTGTAAAGTCTTCAATGATATAACGTATGAAGTTATAGTGCTTGATTTCGGTGGCTGAAAGTGAATGATATGCTTTCCATAATTATTGCTCAAAATACATAGGTAATATATATATGTAATATATGGTGATTATGGTGGTCCGTGAGAAAAAGAAACAAAGAAGTTAATATTGTTTTCTCTTTCTCTAAACACTGCATTGCAAGTTCTCTATTTTTCTATCATCACAAATACAAATATTAGAATACATTGTGATTACAATTTGCCTACAACAAATTGTAATTGTCCCGTTTTATTTCCTAAGTGAATTTTCGTGAAACCCGGTTGTAGTATTAGGATCGAAATTACACTTTTGAGAAAGTGATTCCGTTCACGACTCGGTTAAATTTCTCTATTTCATTTCCAACTTTTTTTGTAATTTCCTTAATTTTAATATTATCCCCAACAATCCAAAAGTGTAATTTGTTTACAAAGATGTCTTCTGTGAAGGAAATGATGACCAATTTTCAGAAATTGGAGAAATTTGAAGGTGTGGACTTTAAGAGATGGCAAAAAAAGATGCATTTCTTGTTGACTTCCCTTGGTGTGGCTTACGTTCTTTCAACTCCGAAACCGGTCGAGGAGGAAAATGAGACGATGGATGTCGTTCGTAAGAGGAACAAATGGGAAAATGATGATTACATATGCCGTGGTCATATACTTAATGGTATGTCTAATGTCTTGTTTGATGTTTATCAATTTAGTGAATCTGTTAAAATACTTTGGGATGATCTAGAGGCCAAGTATATGACCGAAGATGCTTCAAGTAAAAAATTTCTTGTTAGTAAGTTTAATAATTTTAAAATTGTTGATGATAGATCAATTATGGAACAATACCATGAAATTCAACGTATTTTGGGTAGTTTTAGACAACACAACATTAATTTAGATGAGAATTTTATTGTCTCTTCTATCATTGACAAACTACCGAACTCTTGGAAGACTTTTAGGAATGACCTAAAACATAAGAAGGAATCTATTAGTCTTGAGGATTTAGGAGCCCACATTCGAATTGAAGAGGGAATCTGAATCCAAGATGGTCAAAAGGATGGTTATCCTAATTCATCTACTATAAATATGGTTAGTGATGGTAAGACTAATAATAAGAAGAGGGGAAGTAATTCAAACACAAACAAGGGCAAGAAGCTCAAAGCGGATAGTGATGATCAAAAATCACGAGCTTGTTGGTGTTGCGGTAAACCTGGACACTTTAAGAAAGATTGTACCATATGGAAGAAAAAAGTGAGCAAGAAGCAAGCTCAAGATGGGAAATGCGGGCCAAGCCAATCCCATGAGAAACAAGGTAATTCTTGTACACAAGTTTCACTTAATTCTTTTATAGATTATGTGTGTATGATTTCTGAAATCAATTGTGTGCAGGTTGATTGTTCGTGGTACATCGATTCGGGAGCGTCGAGGCATGTTTGCAAGGACAAATAATTGTTCAAGACCTTTACAGAGGTTGAAGATGGAGAGATACTCTACATGGGCAATGACTCTACCGCCAAGGTGTTAGGCAAGGGACAAATTGAGCTAATATTTAGTTCCGAAAAATCTCTTATTTTAAGAGATGTGTTGTATGCTCCCGAGCTTAGGAGAAATCTTGTCTCCGGTGCTATCCTGAATCGTTTAGGTTTTAAATTAGTGTTTGAATCAGACAAGTTTGTATTATCTAAAGGTGGTTTGTTTGTAGGACTTGGCTACTTGTGTGATGGAATGTTTAAACTTAGTATTTCTAATACTTTGAAAAATAAAGTGTATTTTGTTAATGATTGCTCTTCTCTATGGCATTTGAGACTTAGTCATGTTAATTATAAAAAATTGCAATTTATGTCTAAACATGCTTTAATTCCAACTTTTGATCCAAGTATAGAGAAGTGTAGAACATGCATGTTGACAAAAATCACAAGGAACCCTTTTCCTAATGTTGTTGAAAAGAACAATGCATTGCTTGAATTAGTGCATAGTGACTTATGTGATTTTCATAGCACTCCTTCTTTAGGGAATAAGAAATATGTGGTAACATTTTGATGACTATTCAAGGTTTTTTTATGTTTATTTATTATTCTCTAAAGATGAAGCCCTTGACAAATTTAAAATCTACAAAAATGAAGTAGAATTGCAAACTAACGGTAAAATAAAAAGGCTAAGAACTGATAAAGGTGGAGAGTACTATAATCCAAGTTATTTCCAATCAATAGGATTAATACATGAAACAACCGCGGCATATACACCACAACAAAATGGTGTAGCGGAAAGGAAGAATAGGACATTGCAAGAAATGGTTAATTCCATGTTGTCCTATTCGGGTTTAAGTGATGAATTTTGGGGGAAGCCGTTTTAACGGCTTGTTACATTTTAAATCGAGTTCCTATGAAAGGGAATGAGGTAACCCCATATGAGCTATGGCACAAAAGGAAATCAAACTTGAGTTATCTCAAAGTTTGGGGTTGTAGAGCAATAGTAAAAGTGCCGAAAGCTAAACGTAAAAAGTTAGGTGAAAGAGGAGTGGAATGCATTTTTATAGGATATGCATAACATAGCAAACCTATAGGTTCTATGTGATAGAACAAAATGATTATTGGTCGGTTCATACCACCATTGAATCTAGGGATGCATTGTTTGAAGAAAAAAGATATTCATCAATTCCTAGACAAAAAGATGTCACTCCAAGTACGGAAGCTCAAAATTTTGATCAAATTAATTTTGATCAAAAAGTAGATGACCAAACTCACTTAGATGAGCCATCTACATCATCACAACCTAGGAGGAGTAAGAAGGCAAGGAAATAAAAATCCTTTGGCCCGTATTTTCTTGCGTATTTAGTTGAAGGATCAAGGCAATCAATTTCAACTAAGTTTCCATACATTTTTAATGTAGAAGATGATCCTATGACATATAGTGAGGCTATGAGGTCCCGTGATGCTCCATTTTGGAAGGAGGCAATTAATGATGAGATGGACTCCATCATGGGAAACAACACTTGGGTATTAGCTATTTTACCTCCTAAATGCAAACCTATTGGGTGCAAATGGATCTTCAAAAAGAAATTGAAGGTTGATGGAACTATAGATAAGTTCAAGGCACGGTTGGTTGCACAAGGCTATACTCAAAAGCCGAGTATCGATTATTTTGATACATATGCACCGGTTGCAAGAATATCATCAATTAGGTTTTTAATGGCTCTTGCGGCAATTAAAAATCTTGTGATCCATCAAATGGATGTCAAGACTGCATTCTTGAATGGAGATTTGGAAGAAGAGGTTTACATGCGACAACCGGAAGGGTTTGTTGTGGAAGGTCAAGAGGATAAAGTTTGCAAGTTGATTAAATCTTTGTATGGGCTTAAGCAAGCACCCAAGCAATGGCATCAAAAATTTGATGAGGTTGTGTTGTCTAATGGATTTAAGTTGAACAATTCAGACAAGTGTATATATAGCAAATTCGATGACAACGGTGAAGGTGTCATAATTTGTCTATATGTAGATGACATGTTGATCTTTGGAACTAGTTTGTCATAAGTTGAGTTGACAAAGGCTTTCCTTAGCTCAAAATTTTCCGTGAAAGATATGGGAGAAGCGGATGTCATCTTGGGAATAAGAATAAAGAGAGAACAAGGCAAGTTAATTTTGACACAATCTCATTACATTGAGAAGGTGCTCAAAAAGTTTAATGTTGAGGACCATTCAACATCTCTTTATTCAACTCCTATGGATCCTAGTATTAAATTATTGCCTAATGAAGGTAATGCAATTTCACAATTGGAGTATGCTAGATTTATAGGATGTTTGATGTATGCCATGACAAGTACAAGACCGGATATTGCATTTGCGGTAGGTCAATTGAGTAGATATACTAGTAATCCTAGTATGCAACATTGGCAAGCAATTTGCCGATTGTTGAAGTACTTAATGAAAACTATAAATTATGGTTTGTGTTATAGCGGGTTTCCTTCGGTTGTAGAAGGATACTCGGATGCAAGTTGGATCTCTAATAAAGATCATTCATCCACCAGTGGATGGGTATTCCTATATGGGGGAGGTGCCATTTCATGGGCATCCAAGAAACAAACTTGCATAGCGGACTCCACAATGACATCGGAGTTCATTGCATTGCATTCAGCTGGTAAAGAAGCTGAATGGTTGAGGGATCTAATGCATGAGATACCCTTGTTGCCAAAACCGATATCACCAATAGTGATACATTGTTATAACAATGCAACTTTGGCTAAGGCATATAGCCAAGTTAACAATGGTAAGTCAAGGCACATTGGAGTTCGTCATAGCTTCATACAAGGACTTATCAAGGATAGTGTCATTACTATTGATTATGTTCGAACAAATGTTAATCTCGCCGATTGCTTTACTAAGGCGTTGGCTAGAGAAGTAAATAAAAGGATGACAGTCAGTTTAGGATTGGAGCCCTAAATAAGTACAAATGGGGGAATCTCAACTTGACGCCCAATAAGACGTTGGGTCTCAAGTTCAACGAGATCAATTTCCTTATTTGATAATTGGGAACTTGTTTTTTTTTATCCTAGGTAAGTTCCAGTTTTCTGTGATGTGTAAGAGGTTGCTTAGCTTAATAGATTTCCTGATATAGTGCTTTGTCACAGGAGCATGTTTTTGAAAGTCTACCTATGTAAGTACGAGGTGTAGCCGCTTCAAGAAGCTAATTTGGGCATAGCTTTGATGTACTTATGAATAGATATGGACACACGGCTTAAAGTGTCAAGTATAAAATGTATTCAAGTAATAGACTTTGTGTGTGTAGTATCTTCAGGTCTCCAGTAAGTGTCGAATTTGGTTCAATTGTTTAGCAACATCAAATGGATTCGGATTCTTGGAATGTGTACTACACTAAGTGGGAGTTCAAGTCTGAGTACACTCTCATTTATGCATAAAGTTGTTTTGTGATGATGATGTTTTGCAATGAATCTTGTATAATACTCTAAATGGGGGAGGATTGTAGAATTATTTAGAGTATTAAGACTATTTTCATGTTAATACTCTCAATTTGCTTAGGTAATGGTGTTGCATTTTGGGTTTATTAAGTATTAGAGCAGGTAATACAATTTATACATTGTATAAATTGGGTCTAAGGTTTTAATCTAAAAGCAAGAAATTAAAGTGACCGTTGTTTTCGTGATCGGTTACATTATCTGCTTTGGGTATAAGTGAGCAATCTTGAGTTTATGATTATGCCGAAAGTCATGGCTTCCGTTACCAATTTTATACTCCCTAATAATAGTAGTATCTTACGTTATATTATACTCCCTAATAATAGTAGTATCTTACGTTATCAATTCTTAATGTCGTTATGCAAGTTATAATATTGTACCATGCAATATTGTAAAGTCTTCAATGATATAACGTATGAAGTTATAGTGCTTGATTTCGGTGGCTGAAAGTGAATGATATGCTTTCCATAATTATTGCTCAAAATACATAGGTAATATATATATGTAATATACGGTGATTATGGTGGTCCGTGAGAAAAAGAAACAAAGAAGTTAATATTGTTTTCTCTTTCTCTAAACACTGTATTGCAAGTTCTCTATTTTTCTATCATCACAAATACAAATATTAGAATACATTGTGATTACAATTTGCCTACAACAAATTGTAATTGTCCCGTTTTATCTCTTAAGTGAATTTTCGTGAAACCCAGTTGTAGTATTAGGGTCGAAATTACACTTTTGGGAAAGTGATTCCGTTCACGACTCGGTTAAATTTCTCTATTTCATTTCCAACTTTCTTTGTAATTTCCTTAATTTTAATATAATCCCCAACATAAGTGAATAACAACTGCTCTTGAATCTGTCTGCAACAATCACAAGGTTTTACAAATTACTGAACTCACATCAAACTACACATATAAGTTTTCTAGGAATTACTTGTGTAAATAGCATCACTCACTGGACGAACGAAAATTCATCTCTAAGGAAGGAACACTCTTGAACAAAATCCCCTCTTTCAGTATGCATTAGATGAAACATCTACTTTTTCACAGGTCAATCATGGATTAATTTACTCCATTCCTTATCTCCCTTGCCCTTTTCCACAACTCAACATTCCTCATTCTCGCGAAAATCTTCCTGACTAGAAAGAGTTTACGGGACTGTTGGGCAATCAGGCTGGCAGTTGAAGGATTTTTGCTAAGAACAATTGTGTAACCATCTCCATATGACTCTATTCCTTCAGTTAAGAGCTGCCAGAACAATCCACCAGCAGCTGCACCTCCCCTCTTGGCCGATGAGTATAGCTGGCTGTAAACATTTGCAAATAATTGGTCCCTCTTAGTAGTACTGAATCCAGGATCTTTGTCTGATTTTCCAAACTCTGCCAAAAGCAATGGCTTTCGGAGAATGTTTTGAGCATCCTCAATGTGGGAAGTCAACCAGTTGTTCACAAAGGCAAGCTCAGTTTGATCATTCAAGTTAGACAACCTGTCGATGTGCAATAAAATCAAAAACCAGGATCCTGAAAGCAGTAAATGAAAAGAAATAATATATTTTCGAGATGCTTTACCATTGATCAGGATATGCGTGGACAGTTGCAAAATCAATCCCGGGAACTTGATTGTTGGCAATGAAATCCGTCCCAATGTTGAAGTTTGGATTGTTATGAAGCTTCTCGGGATGAGAAGATCCATAAAATCCTTCTAAACCAGCTTCAAGCAAGTGGTTTTTGTCAATGGACTTAACATGAGCAGCCATCTCAGTGATCCAGGCCTACATGTAAACAACTCAGTTTAGTCTCCAACCAACAACTTGCATCTCCTACATAGCTCACATTCAGGCAACTATTCTCGTGATCCTTCTTATTTCAAATTTGTTTTCATGACTATAATAATATAGTATAATTATGATACAATTTGAACTGTTCCACCCCGCATGATCATATTGTTTTTTCTTTCAACTTGTATCTATTGTACTGCACAACTATTTACTGTGTAAACATATACCAATTGCACTTTATATAAGCATAAAGAGAGAGATCAAAGTTCAAGATTAAAGTTAAAATAGTGGGACTACTATGACTCTGAGTAAACTTTTCTAGATTTAGGTGGAGCATGTAGTAAAGTTGGACCCCCATTAAATTTTTTCACTGGGAAGTATGCAATACATAGTGTCGGCAGGCAAAAACCTAATGATATTTTCACTCTTTTTTTGATTGAAATTCAGAAAAAAGACCAACTAGAAAAATTTCTCAGCTGAACTTTCCACCAACACAAGTACTAAATTCTGGGAAAAAAAATCATAAATGCGTTGAACATAACGCTTGCAGTGAGAGCATGATGAGCATCATAGTATATAAGATCAAATACTACGTTAGATGTATTGGTGAGAGTGAGGGATAGCTCAAGTGGTTAGAGCTTTCCTCCCGATCCTTGGAGACCCTGGGATCGATTCTCACCCCTGCCCTTGTGGCTCTCTAAACACCAAATAAAAACGTTAGATGGTATTGGTGATAAGGCAAAGAATATATCGGAAACAACATGTTCTGTATTTGCTAATTTTTCCATTTCTTAAACATGATAATTGTTGAATGACAGAGGGAGTAATTAAGAATTTAAGATAATGTGGAGTAACATACAACATTACATAATATAATGACATATTAAAAGCTTTTGCTTGTGATTAAAAACCTAACAACAATTATAAGACATCCGAGAATATTGACTATTCAAATAAATTAATTATTTTCTCCATTTGTCTTTTTACATTCACAAAGCATGTCCAAAAACTTTTAGTTATGTAGAGTATTAATAAAATTATAAAAATTTAATATTTCAAAATGTACATTTATGTCAAATCTAACAAGACAGCACACGATAGTATATGGGCAATTCACTTAAACAATAAAAACAGAGAAGCTAAAGGCTGAAAGAGAGCAAAACCTGAATGGTTTTTCCAGAAGGGTCTGATGTACACCTAGGTTCATTCATAAGCTCCCAAGCCATAATTGTTGGGTCATTCATGTATGCCACACCATTTATGGTGTTACGCCTGGTAAGAACAGCCTAGACAAAAACATTTTTTAGATGAAATTTCAAGCATTAATATATTCAACCATTCAAAATTTTCTATAAAACTTCAAATTATTTACCTTGATATGATTCTTGTAGAAACCCTTAACAACAGAATTAGAGAAAAATTCATCATCAGAAGAAAGATATTGGCCTTGATTCTTAGCCCAGTTCACATATTGCTTCTTCCCTCCCATGCTTTCATAGTTATTTGCAAAGCTTAATATCAGCTTAATTCCATGTTTCCTTGCCTCAGCTATCACAAAATCCAACCCCTGTCATAAAAATTTAATAAACAATGGTCACACCCATTACCCAACAAATAATAACAAACTCGTAATTCATCTCGGGATCAACAAAACAGTCTAATCTCATATTCACTCACAGTGGTAAGTACATACGAATATAGGATATTGTGGTGGAACATTTGTACATGTTATGATTGTTATTCTAGTGTGTTACAAACCTGTAGTAGTAGTTGAGATTAACAAAATTTTACTGATCTCTAAGATCAACCTATTAGACTCGACACATAAAATAAAAAAACACAGGTGCAAAAAAGAACCTGGAAGACATGCTCATCATAGGAGCCAGGGGAGAGTTGGAGAGCGCGGTCACCTCCGTCGTTAAACGCCCAAGTTCGGGCGACGGTGAGGCCGTGGGAGGAAGCCTCACGGAAGACATTGGAGACTAAATAACGTTGAGAAGGGTCAGTAGCCATGTACATGAGCCAGTAAGCATTGAACCCATTTGCATAGTAAGGCGAACCATTTAATAAAAGCCGAGTTCCTCTAACTCTAATGAACCCATCTCCTTCTCTTCTTCTTACACTAGCATCAACTTTGAAGAATGTATGACATTGTTGGATTACTAGTAAGACTGTCAGAAACAACTTCAGGTGTTTCATTTTCTCTCTCTAGAAAATCTAAGTGAGAAAATTAGTTGGGTTTGTTGGGAAGAAAGTGGGTGGAAAATTGGGAAAGTTGAAGAGACAATTGAAGTCTTTTTATCAAGGAATGGAATCAGGGTTAGCTTGAATTTTGTGGCTTGTGCAGTACTGTGGTAGGATCCCCCTGTCTTTTGTGGTGCTCAAGTTTTGAATCCTTTCCTTTATTTACTTTATAGTAGTCCTGAAAAATTAAATAAATTTTATGTCATTCTGAGAGTTTTTCGAGGTTAAATGCGATTCTATGAAGGCTTAAGTTATTTTGTTGCCTTAACTCTAGATATAACCGAGTGCATTAAAACTGATAATACAGCTCAACGAGATGTTTAAGTTTTCTGATTAGGGAAGCAAAAACTAAAAATGGTGTAAAGGTGTCAATTTAGGAGGAAACACGCGGCATGAAGCTGAAAGCATTAGAGGCATACGATATTGAAGTGGCCCATGTGCATCAACACATCCTAGAGGCCCACCTCGTGTTCTACCGCTCCGTATTAATGACTATGAATTACTCTTCATTAATAGGGAAGTGAGTAGTGTTGATTTACCTTATCTTTATTTTAGTTAATCACACTATTACACTAAAGTACGGAGTATATTACATCAACAACTGATGTTGCTTTCACTTTGATCAATATTTACAAGATAGAACCTAAGATGGGCAGCATTTGATGTTGCTTTCACCTTGATTAGTGTTTCCCCCCCCCCCCCCCCCCCCAAATGGAGTCGAAATAAGATTGAACTTCAAATGAATTTAACTTTAAGCTTGTATCATTTAATATAATTCATACTTTAGCTCGAGGTATCGTTTGATGCGGTTGAGTTGAGAGCTTGAAATCAAGTCTTTATAAGCAACTTCGATTCGAATGAATCAGATACGGAGTACAAGTTAATTTGAGGAACCAATATTAGGCTGACTTAATTTTCAAGTTACTATGAATAGTTGAATACTAGTATGAGTTAATTTGTTGTTCAACTTTTCAAAAGTTTCAAAGTAAAGAGAGAGGAGTTAATCAATGCGGCAGTTGCGGTGGGTTGGGTTCCAACAAGTTAAATATAGGAGATTGTCCCTAACTTTTTAGGTCTAGTGAAATCAGAAGCAGTTAATGGCGTAATCCGCGGATCCTCATTCCCATACTTTTTCCTACAAACATCTCTCGTGATGTTGTCCATCCAATATTGTGGACAATGAAGCTTCCCCTTTTCTTAAAGATACTACAAAATTTCTCAATGTAATGTAGGGCCTCTTCCTACACCAATACTCTCTTCACTCCTTTTTTGTTTGCTTCATTTTTCTTTTATTTACGTATTTTTAAATAACCATATATATAATTTTTGCATATACATAAGCTTTACTCTTACATTCAATATTTTTGATCTACTTCTTATTATTTTCTATCGTTAAATCCACCCTACTAAAATAATCTCAATAGGAAAAAGTAAGGGGACCAAAGGAGTGAATAGAAGTTACTACTATGAGGCCGAGTGACACGACTCTACCATGTGAGTGAGGCTTTAGATTTTGTGTACTAAGAGGCTGTTTTTTGGTGTCACGTGAGATTTTGTGTATCCGACCCTAATTTGCCTTCCCTATTTGTCGCTAAATTAAAGCCTGGTCCTATATTTTTCTTACCAACCGGTCATACAACTACCAGTACAGTAGTACTCAAATATACATCACTTACTCTTGGTCATGCTGGAGGGAGGATCTATCGATCATTCATGACTACTACGACAAGTCGGTAACATAACCAAGCTGAGGTGAATATTCACTTCCAAGCTCATTAGCTCTAAACTTTTCACAAGCATAAATACACAAAATGTTCTTCAACAATCAACAAACATAAACAAAAGCATCTCTATATTAGTGTTCAAACTCATTTATCAAACAAGCTCTGCAATTCATTTAAACATTATAAAACATGTTCATGTTACACATAAACGAACAATTGCATACGAGATAAATAGGGTAAATTTTACTTAATCCATCCATCATGATTTCTGTTCAGATGCCAGAATAATTTTATTTTATTTTTTAGAAAAAAAGCCCTTAAGGAGAAGCTGATGAATAATTTGTACTGTGGTATGATTAGAAATTTAAAATATGACACAGATGTAAGAAATTGCGTATGTTGTACGCATAATGATAAATTGCCTAAGAAAATTATGAATGTCGTATGATTTAAAGATGAAACATGTGTGGGGAGAAAACCCCAGGACGATAATTATGTGAGCTAACTCAAAATACAAGACATAGTACATCTACATATCAATTACACTTTAATTTCTCCTACCAAGTGAGTATGAATAAAAGGAAAATGGAAAATTGAGTGAAAAAGAAAAGCATACAAGAAACAGATATTACGACACAAAAGATGTAGAAGCAATCTAATAAATTAAAAAACAAATTGCTGCATATCTACAATCTAAATAGAGAACAGTTACAGGGATCTCCCACCTGGTCTTTTTCACATAAGATGTGCATAGAGCAGGGAGGGGAGCAATATAGCCAGTGAGCCAGTAAAGATGAATCCTGTTGTTAAAAAACTTGTATCTGGCCACCATATCCATAGCGTTTGAGAAGCCCTTCATCTTGTCTCCATTTTTCTTTCACTTTGACTTCCACCTATAAACAATAGCTCCAAGTCACTAATAATTTCAGTCAAAAAACGACATTTGGAAGCGGTAGCAATATGATAATATGATTACTGTAATAACCAAAACCCAATATGCTAATACTTGAACTTAAATAAAAATGATACTAGTCCATTCTAAAAGTGAAAGGCCTGGTCCCCACGTGCAAATCGCACAAACTCTTGCTTGTGTCTTATGAACAAACTATCAAGAGAATCAGCACGGTTAAGAGGAGTTCCGCACTTCCTCATACACAAAAAAAAAAATAAAAAAAATAAAAAAAATAAAAAAATAAGAGGCTGAAGATATTCACTAAACTGAAGCGACATTGATTCCAGTTTACAACGAGACAGAGAACAATGTAGTCAGGTATTTGGAAATTCTGCATTTGTTACAATAAATAAAAATTTCACCAAAAAGTTGGACTCTTTCAAATGAAAATGGACATTCATGTATTCTGTCCACAATTTTTTAGTATGCGCCTGTGTGTGCAGGGGAGAGGGGGATAGGTCGATAGGATATTCTGAATCAGTTACCTCTAGAAACACTTTCTTCTGCAAAAAGTCTTCTATGTCAAGGCGTGCAGCAGTAGCTAGCAATTTCAAAGCTCTTCCCTCCTACAAAGACTCAGAATCAATATAAAAATTCTGAGAAGGAAACAAAGCAAGGTCCTAACCAGCAATGACAAACAATGCAAATTTTTAAAGCAATCAGAAACCTATGCGTGCCAAACAAGACTGCCCTAAAAAGTCAGTGGCTCAGTAATTTTCAAAATCAAGCACACCATGACATAATGCTAATGCAACCGTGTTGCGACAGCTTAGGTGGCTAGTGCAGCATATGATATAAGTTGAATTTGGTATCACTTCCAAAAAATAGTATAACAGTAATACCCAGATGTGCATTGCAGGTCATTTTCCAAACCAAAACTACCATACATAACCGACTTTTCTAAAGCCATGAAAAGTCCCCCACCATGAAACTTTGGGGGGAAATTAAAGAGGCAAATTTAATTAGTTGTGATCAAGTTTGCATCATGTGTGAAAAGATTTCTCGAGCAGTTGCATGTAAAACCACCAAGTCAGATAAGATTTCAAAGGAGAGGTGATGGTTGTGTTGACTGCATACAAGAGTCAAAATGCAATAGCAACCATTGATAAGGCCGTAAACGGTAATCCCTTACCTTTCCAATAAGGATGATCTTTTGTGAGTTCTTCTCAACAACAACCTCCACTTGAATAAAATCTTTTGCACCAGGTCTTGATTTGTAACTCACAACATTAACCTGCAGAATTTGGCATTAAACTTAGGACTTAGGACTGCATGCAGCGAAAAATGCCTCAGGCAATATAGTGGAAAATTACCTGGCATGCATATGGAACTTCATTCTTGTATTGCAAAAAGATTTTTTCTCTAACAATTTCAGCTACAAAAAATCTTTCAGGGTGTTCACTGGCAATGTCCTGCCAATCAAGTAAGAAGAAGATACTAAGATTTGGCTGAAAATTATTCATCTTTTTCACTTATAAATTTTAAAATTACATCAACTGAGAACAAGCAAATCATCCTCCAAGATGACCAGTTGTGCTGAACGCATTGGTGACATACAAACGGGGAAAAAAACAATCATCTCACAAAAAGCTAAAGGCATGAGCTAGTACTTTTGGATAATAGGGTGGACCAAGGGGAAGTTTTGATAAAATCCAATCTTTGACATCATCAACTCCATGTCCATGTTTAGCACTCACAGGTATAACCTCATCCACATCGGTAAACTTCTCATACCACTGAAACAAGCAGGAGTAGGGTGTCAAACAAGCATCAAATTATGAAATAATTTCAAACACATCTGCGAGGAAAGATTACATAAATCAATTAAACCAGAAAACATATACCACATATATTCTGTCTGATTTATGAAAATTAATTCCATTATGGCTATACAACATTGCATCATTTTTTATGCATAACAGACATTTATACTAGCATGACATTATTAACACCCTACAAATAAATTACCTTTATAAAGTTCATCAGAACTCCATGATCCCTTCCTCCATCTAACGACATTTAATTTTGAAACACATCGTACGATATCCTGAAATAACTTCCTATCATTATAAGGGTCAAAGGACCAGGCCGGATATATATTCATTCACATTTGCAGGCAATCCAAGAACCATGACTACTAACCCTATATGAGTTGGTCTTGTTCATTTTACTATGCAGCATGATATTTTCTTACTGCTTCAATGATTTTCTCCCCTCTCGACAATTTCATAAGAGCTAACCTTCTTACTGGCTTACTGGTTATCCAGTGAAGTAATCTGGATGGAAGAAGCATACAAATTCTATACTCTCAAAATATACTCATTGAGATAAATCAAATAAGACCTCACATGATTATATTTTGATGTTTGTATGAGTGGAAAAATTTGGTCAAATAATTTAAACTTTGACCTCCAAAGTTAAAGTGCAAACACTTTGAAATAGAAGGTACTGTGCAACAAATGTTAACCCAGCAATTTGTAGATTACGGCAAAAAAACAATCTTTCTGTAACTGGACACCATACAGAATTAAAAATGAAATTACTCCTTTGTTCAACAGTGTGAGCATTGTGCGATGGACAGCAAAGACATACATAAACATTTGCTCATTTAGGAATATACAAACCTGGAGTTTTTTAGCAATTTCACCAGGTTTAATGAGATCCTTTTTATTTAGAACAAGTAAGGTGGGTAATTTGTCCTTCAACTCCCCTACACCAGCAAGCACTTCGTCTAACTGAAAAATTATAGGAAAAGTATGTCAGTTAATCAAGAAATTTGAGATGCTCATAGATGATAAGATCTGAGGAGCAAACCTTTTCAGGCATCTTACACGCATCAACCACAACAACTACACAATCTGCATTGATGGCAGCACTACGGACATTCTTCATCATCATAAAGTCCAATTGGTGCATCTTCTTCTCAATAACTCCAGGTGTATCATAAAGTATAATCTGCAAGCTATTAACAGCTGGACTTAACAATTTTACATAGCAACAATTGTAGTGGGTTCTATATACTTTGTGAACAGGAAAACACAAACATTCAAGAGTTACCCTTGGAAAGAAAATCAATTAAGATGAAAATTGAATAAAATAGACTAGATTAATGCAAACCTTAACAAGCAATGTCATTAGCAATTAATTGATGTACTCATTCAAATTTAGAGGAGCAAGTAATCAGTCACCATGTACTCATTCAAATTGATGTACTCATGATTTAATTGCATCAATATGTTACTAACTTACTATATAGAATTATAGACAATACATTGATACATGCCATTTGTTTCCCTTTTGCCAAGGAAAATATCACACGATGCAGCACCTTAGGCGGATGTCAAGTATTCCCTATTCTACCATAAAATGCTATCACGAAAAATAGAAGAAATACAAGCTACATGTGTCAATCATGTCAACTGAAGATACCATCATGAAATAGGAATGTCACCAGCCAAAGTTTACACATTAAACACAAAACAGGCCAGGGGTTATCAAAACACCACCATGCTTAATCACACTTCAAAAGTTCAAAGAACAAAAAAAATGCTTTAGAAGATTCCGCACAGGAAATAACATTTAGCCATTAGTAGTGCTATTGTCTTGTATAAATAAATATTAGACGTCACAAGGCCATCATTTACAGGGAAATTCAAACCTGATGATCTGGGCCAGAACATATACCAAGGATTCGATGTCTGGTAGTTTGAGGTTTATCTGTAACAATTGACAGCTTCTGACCAATCATTTGATTTATAAGAGTGCTTTTCCCAACGTTTGGCTTGCCCACCACAGCCACATATCCTGTAAATGAAATTAAATGTAATCTCAAGAAAAAGAAGCATATTTTTCAGAACATCTAATCATAACCCCAACAAAAAAGTTGGAGAATAGACTCACACAGAAGCCCAAAAAATTTGAAGATAATGGTGGCAATGTAGGAATCACTCAATAACTCAAATCCCCTATCTTAGTATCTACCGAAGATTAAAAACTTATAAGTGCATTACGAATATTACAATAGTCCTAAACAAAACAACTAAACCCCGATTGATCGCCGGCAACATTAGTAGGGTATGGACTATGGAGCATATATTATGACACATTACAGTTTTCTCTGCCAAAGCTCTAGCACAAGTGCACAACCAATTCACCAATACAATCACCTGAATAGCATAATCTTTTGCTACATTAGCATCCTCCCCAACACTTCCTTAACACATCACAATTTAACAAAACTCGAAAGTGAATTAATTAAGCAATCAAACACTCTAAAATAGCACAGGATAATTAATATCAACTGATAATCATAAATAGCTAAAATCACTAAAATCTATCAAAACATGAACCCAATTTCAACAAGTAGTACTTTAAAAATCAGCAACAACTTAAAATCAATTAAACAACCAAATTCAGTTAAAACTGCCCTAAATTTGAAGATACCAAGATAGAACCAACATCAAGCATTACAAAGCTAAACTTCAATTTCGAAATGCAAAATTACGAAACCCTAAATTAAAAAAGGAAAAAAGCAGGAAGTTTAAAGAATGCTAACCACTTTTATGGTTAGGGTCAAAATCTCTCTCCTCCATTTCATAATCATCCAGCAACGCTAAATTTCTATCTGGTTTCTCACTTAGAGAGAGAAACGATGATGAAGACGCCATTAATTCATCTTCATACTTTCTATCTTCTTCTTCGTCTTCAATTAATGGAAGCTTCTCGTGCAAGCTAATACTACTGTAATTTTTGAGTCTAGAATTTCTGAAATTGAATTGAATGGTTGGGAATCGAGTGAATTGCGAAGGAGAAGAAGATAGAGAAATTAGGTTTGAGGAATGAGAGAGTATTCTCTCTCCTAAATGAGGTATGCCAACTGCTAAAACCTCCATTGTTGGAGCTTCGACACTACTGCTCTGTAAAACACTAAAACTGTATGTAATGTTATCCTCTTTTCTCCCTCCTTTTGTTTGATAAAATAATACGGAGCTTATTTGGGCTATTGGACTAACGGGTCATATCATAAATGTAGGCCCATGAGAAAATAAACTCTCCATTAACCAGAAAAGGTACTTCGTACACAACCTTGAGTTTAATGGTAAGGATTGCAATCCGACTTTTAGGCGTGAGGCGAGGAGTCGAATCTTACAATCTGCCTTATCCACATTGTCCAAGATTTTATGCAATTAGTATCTTCTAAAAGTGAAGAGAAAGTTTAATTTGATAATAAGACGTCTTATGTGATTAGTGTTGGTTTGCCCCAATTTATACACTTGTAACAATTGGAAGTACTCTCCAAGACGCACAAACTCACATTAGGTGCACGAATCCCTTATATTGTCTTTCTTAGACTCGTGAAAAATAAGGCCAGTATCATGCATCAACCACCTACGGAGTAAAAGGCACCGATCATGTATCAATCATCTATGGAATAAAAAGCTCCGACAAAGGTAGCTTTCAAAGTTTCAAGCATCAAGCCATAACATCTATGGAGTAGAAGATCAATCAATCATTATAGTCACACGGTAAAAAACATACTCCGTACCATCTAAGTAGTAAAACAACCCCAACAAATATCTCTTTGAAGCCTTGAATGACAATTGTTTCGGGATTTTTTTGAGAAACCCTCAGGATACAAATCTTCAATAGCGTTCGAACGACCGCAGACACCTGCAAAACAACGTAATAAGAGTCTTCTCATCCTTCAGGTGCTATTATGTTGCCATGTGTCGTTTCCCAATAGGGACACATGTCGCCACGTGTCACCATAAGAATGGATTACGTGATGGGGTATTTTGTAGCCTAAACAACAGTTATTAATTTAGTTTTGGTTAAGTAATTTATTAATTAAATCCATGCCTACTATTCCACAGACCACAGAACCCTGTCTAGCAAGCTGGCAGTTTATCACACAACCAGACTCAACAGGTGGTATGAATATATGATGCGCACCTCACCTTGGCCACTGCTAAATCAGGTAAAATTGATAAGCAATTAGGATTATTAATAAATGGACTTCGGTTGAAAGCATGGAGACTCAGAAATCATGAGCCAGTAGTGCCCAAATCTGAACTTTAATTGTCTCATCAACATCACAACAAGTCAGTAACACCGCAACACCCAAGCTAATAGAGTGCTTCAACAATCTAAAGCAGCAAAATTCACAAGCTTTTGTACCACATTTCACAAACACATCTACATAGACCCACACAAGAGTTTGAAGTTACCAAAATTTAGACCCCTTCGTTCTTTATCAAAAATTCCCTGCAAAAAATATAATCACACTTAGAGCATGTTTGGTATGGGCTTTTTATGGGGTTAGTAACGGAATCGGGTTACCGTTTCCGTTAGAAGATGTTTGGTTAAAGAGTTAAGTAATAGAAACCGTTTCCTTCCTCTAACCCATTCCATTACTTTGTTTCCACTGTAAAACTTGGGGAAACAAATCCCGTTTCTTTCCTCTATCTATTCTCTCTCCTCTCATACAACAGATCTCCCCACAATCCTCAACTTTGATCGATCGAAGCCACAAATTCACTGAAGAATTCTAAATTTCGTACTTCAAATTTCCAGAAATCAACAAACTCAAGGTTTGATCTCTCACTTTTTTGTTGAAGAACCCTAGTTTTTGAGTTGTGTTGAATTTATAAAAATTTTGCCTTATTGATTGCGTTTTGATTTTTCTACTGTATATTGAAAGATTGCTATTTAATTTGATTTGCGATCTATATTTTTTCTTTGTGTTGATTGCTATTTTCGATTTATGGTGTTAATTAATTTCTAGGGTTTTCTATCCTAATTTTTCAGTTTTATTTGAGTTTTATTTTCTCCTGTTTTTTGCTTCATGACATTATTGCTAACATGATATCAATTTCGATTTTATGAAATAATACTTACTGATGTTTTGTCATGCAAATTTTGATTTTATGCTATTATAATTTGCTATTATTATTTGGCTTCTTTTCCCCCAAATTTCGATTTTATGCTTAATAGTAATACTTACTGATGTTTTGATCTGCAAATCAGCTTTGTTTAGCAAATGTCAATGGTAAATAATCAGCTTTGTTAAGCGAAAATCAATGTTTTGAGGCAGATTGTTAATGTTGTTTGATTGCTATTGCTTTGCTGGTTTTTAAGGCATATTGGGTCTCTAATTCTTGTTACTTGATTGCTATTGTTTTGCTTATGGACAAATCGACAACCCATAAGTGCCGAGGAATTCTACTATTCCCCTGCTGTTGCCCCTCCCCCCTTCTGCTATTCCCCTACTGCTTCCCCCTTCCCCCTTCTGCTATTCCCCTGATGCTGCCCCTCCCCCCTGCTGCTATTACCAATTTTAGGTGAACTAGTCCTAATCTACATTACCAATCTGTGTACATCAAGACTTTGTCTAAAACTGTCAGTCATACGAAGTGTTGTTTATATGGTTGATATCAATTATTGCTTGTGTTAAGCATTATGTATATTGATACTATTGTATATTTTTTGGACTGGTTTTTCAAGGTTTCTACAATGCCCCGACTTATGCGTTCCATAAGGAAGAAAAAGCTAAAACAAATACAACTAGTTATTTCAATGGTTATTATTATTTTGATGATGTATTGGATGTGGCATATGATGTGTGTTGTTACAATAAGGGGTGTTCAATTAAAAGAAAGGAAAAGAAACAAAAAATTGCTACGAATGTTAGTTTTGAGAGGGCTTTATAGAGAGAGTGATGTGAAATGCAAGAGTGAGCTTCGCGTTAATAGAAGAACTTTCAATATTATTTGTGAGATGCTTAGAGACATTGGGGGTTTAAGTGGTACAAAAAACATGTCGCTTCAAGAGATCGTAGCCATGTTTTTATACACGTTGGCTCACCATAAGAAGAATAGATCTATTGGACAATATTTCTTTAGAAGTGGAGAAACCGTGAGCCGGCAATTTCACCTTTGTTTAAGGGATTTTCTCAAGTTTCATGAAGTACTACTTTACAATCCCACGCCAATATCGGATGATTGTGAAGATGAAAGGTGGAAATCTTACAAGGTATTGGTTTTTTCTAAGCCCTTTGCTAGGATTTTCTTATTTTTGCTTGTTTGTAAGTAATATTTTTCGTATTTTTGTAGAATTGTTTAGGGGCATTAGATGGGACTTACATTAATGTAATGTGCCTTCACAAGAACGACCAAAGTATAGAACAAGAAAAGGAACAATTGCTATGAATGTATTGGGTGTTTGTGCACCGAATATGCAATTTATTTATGTTCTTCCTGGTTGGGAAGGTTCGGCCCATGATATGCGTGTACTTCTCAATGCTCTCTCTAGACCAAACGGTTTTAGGGTACCTCGAGGTAAGTGAAGCTCATCATTCTTTTGTGAGTGTATAAGTTTTGTTAGTTTTGGTAGGTAGTAATCCGTTTCTTTAATAACTTTGAAGGTAATTATTATTTTGTTGATGCGGGATATACGAATTGTGAGGGCTTTCTTGCTCCATATAGAGGTCAAAGATACCATTTAAAAGAATGGACGAATCAACAACCCGAAAGTGCCGAGGAGTTCTATAACATGAAACATGCTAGGGTGCGAAATGTCATTGAGAGATGTTTTGGCCTGCTTAAAGGAAGATGGAGTATTCTTAGAAGTCCTTCATTTTTTCCTATTAGAACTCATGGGCGTATCGTGATGGCTTGTTGCTTATTGCATAATCTAATTAGAAAATTCATGCCTACGGATGATATAAACGAAGATGAATTGAATGAATCCGATGATGATTCCGAAAGTGATTCCGATGATGAAAGGGAATTTATTACAAGTGTTGCTACTTCGGATCATTGGACCAATTTTAGAAATAAATTAGCCCAAGATATGTTTAATGATTGGAGGGCGAGAGGTAGACATGGTCAATAGCAAACAATGTATGCTTTTTCTTTAATATATGTTTCTTCATATATCTGCTTGTGGCATTTTCTTTTAGATTATTTTTGTTTAATAAGCTTCCATTAGCATATTGTACTCTGAAATTGGAATTATGCCTGTTTTATTATCCTGCCTCTTATTTTGTTTGCTCATGAATTGTGCCTTGATTTGTTCTGTGTCAAGGGGATGTTCTATTTTTTTGAATTGATTTTGAGTGTTTTTCTTTTTGGACGGGATGCTGAAAAGAAATTGTTGCAAGTAGACAAGGCCGTGTACGATGAATGGGTGAAGGTATGAACTGCTATTTATTACACTAACCTTCTTAGTTTCATACTAACTTTGTGAATGTATCTTGAAATCTTGACATAATGAGAAACAAATCAGTATTATTACCAGCAGATGACCATTCATCTAAATTTGTGTTCTGAGTTTTTCAAAAACTATATACTCACTTGACATGGTATACTAGCTATAATTCAGAAGAAAATTTAGACAGCAAGTATAGTATGATTAGTATGATTAGTACGATTAGTATCCATGTTTTCAAGTTGCTTTTGCAAACTCTGAGCTGTTGGTGCCATGAGGTTACTGCTGCTGGTTCAGACTGTTGTTTGTTGCTTATGCTTTGTTTTTTGTGGTCGGTCTTGTTGCTTGTTGGTGGCTGTTGTCCTTATGTTGTTACTGCTGTGTTGTCTGTGAGTCTGCCTGCTGGTATCTGTCAGTGTGGTTGCTCTGTCTTTTGTTGCAGGCTGTGATTTCAGGAGCATTTGTTTTGGTTTCCTGGTTGGTGTATGTTTGTAGGTGACTTTTTAGCTAATATTGGTGTCAATTGGTTTTGGCTGGTTTTCTTAGATTTATTCCTGAATTTTGTCCTATCCCTCGCAGTGAAGGGAGTAGTGTTTCAGTTGTACTTTATATGAGAATTAGTGCTTAATTTTACATTCTCTTATATGGCAGACTCATAAGAAAGCTAAGGGGTTGTATGGAGTTCCATTCGTTCATTATGAAACTCTAGCAGAAATATATGCAAAAGACAAAGCTACCGGAGATGTAAGTGAGTCATTCGTTGATGCCATAGAAGGTATTGATCAAGAGATTGATAAGCAACCATTGATTGTCGAGAGTGATGAAGAAGATGATGTGAATTCTACTAATTCGGACACTTATTCTTCTACAAGTCAATCCGGAAAACGCCCCGTGAAGATAGAGGATGATCATATAACTCCTTCAAAAATGGCAAAACGCTCTATAAAGGCAAAGGAGGTTAAGGTGAAAGGAAAGAACAAGGTAAATTTGAAGAGTTTGTGTAGGAATGATGATGATGATTTGGTGGCCTCTCTCCATGATGTTTCCAACAATTTTGGGAAGATATTTGAAAATATCAATGTTAATCTCGGGACTATGGCTAGTGCATGGTCTAAAGCGGAAGAAAGGGAGCAAAGGATGGATGAAAAGGTGAACAAGGTATTGGATGAGGTGATGAAGTTAGATGGCATTTCTCCATCCGAAGCTTTAGAGGTTGCTACTATTCTCATGGCGGAAGAACATAAGCTTCGTATCTTCTATCAAGCACCATTTAACATGAAAAATCAATATGCAATTGATCTTCTTAAGAAGAAGTAGCATTTGATTGTTGTCATGTCTTTGTTTTTTTGTTGAACATTTGCAACTTGAGCAATACAAGTTATGTGTTGGGATTATTCATATAATGATGGACATATTATTAGTCAATGTTTGGATAATTAATGAGTGCCAACTTTGCTTTGTATATATATATTATTTTTTTAACCGTAAAATATGTAGCATAGACAATATTTTTTATCTAGGTTATTTTTTTACCCGTAAAATATGAGCATAGACAATATTGTATTATTCATTCTTATTTTTTGTTTCCGTTTGTTATACCAAACAAAAGGAAACGGAATGGTGATAATTGTTTCCGTTTTCTTTGATGTACCAAACAACTACTAAGGGTAACACTATTTGTTACCCTTTCCCCTCCTAATTTATTTCCATTCCGTTTCCTACATTAACTCCATACCAAACACCCCCTCAAGAGTTCCCCAAGTATCTAGAACCCAGGATCAGAATACCTCATCCTGGCCTAGCACAAGGGGCTCGACCTTTTCTTTCGTTTTACAACAACGCGTTTCAGCATTGCTCAAAAAGATGCCGATCATAAAAAGTACATTATATTCATGAAACTGTACATTCTGCATAGCACAAAAATATGCATCCTGGAATGTGAAAAAGGCTGTAATGCACATTGCACAATGCATCAGACTTTGTCAAATTATTTCTTCCTATTTTGTATAATTCTAGGTATGGCCTAATCACTGCTTATCACTGTCAGGTTGAAAGGCTCTGTTACATTCACTTGAAGATGATACTTTTCCACTTCCACTTGGGAGTAAAGACCATGCCAAAGCTGCACCACTGAGTGTAACAGCTGCGGGAATAACAATTGATCCCCAAACCCATTTCTGTCTTATCCTTCTCTTCTGTCTTTCATGCCGTGCAATCTCTGAAAATAAACACACAAGAAAGCTCAGCATACTGTCAATCAGGACAATTCTTATTAATATTATCTAGAAGCAGCACTTAACTATCAAAAACCTCACAGAAGCAACCAAGGGGAATTCATAAATAATCCAGTGAGATATTTTCTCCACAATGACAATTAATTGAAATGAGTCTTCATCATCAGCACAAACTAGCCCACACACACACACACACAGCTCTCCTCTATCTATTGTTCATACAAAGCTGAGACCGTGAGGATTTATGAAGTATTGATGCAACTGTTACCAGATAATGAGTTTAATGAAATTACTTTAGGTTGTATATTTTGGTTCATAATATTAACCACTAATATAAAGAGAGCTATTTTGGAAAATATACTAATTCCAGCATCATGTTATGTAGTGTATCCCTCAGCACTGAGTAGGATACCTGATCCTATTGCCAATTGCCAAATACTCCTATCATAAATTACATTATCTGTCACATTATTGAATTTTCAAACAATTTGTAAAGCATACAAACTATAGCTTCACCATAGTGAATCCTCGCACATGGGAAACTATTCCATTCCTTTTCAAGAAGCTCAAGCTTAAAAGAGACAAAGAAATTGGATATAGAGCAGCAAAAGAAAAGCCTCAAGAAACAAAACCATGAATCAACAGGCATTACCAGAGTATCAATAAGCATAAGAGATATGCAGCACAATCATTTGATTATAAATTGAAAGATAGCCACAAAAGAAGCATAAGCAATGTGGTTCGGCATAACAAAGAAGGGGATAAAAGTATAACACATGGGAAGTCATATATGACTGGAAGAGTGCAAGCAAAAGATGAGAATAACAAACACAAAATGACTGGTGATCAGTCAAGCATAATCATGTCAGATTGAAATAAGGTGGCCATATAGAAGACCAATGTAAGTTGAGACTCACCCATGGCTTCTTGGTTCCTCTGAGACATTTCCCGATTCATAGTCTCGTAATAATGCAATCTATCAGACAGACGTGCAATCTCAAAGTTCTTCATTTCCAGCTGAGCTTCCATAACTGCCTCAGCTTCAGCCTTTGCAATCCCTCTCCCTATAGATTCTGACACAAAACGTGCCAGTTGGATTTGTCGGCAAATTTCATCAATAGGACCAGTATCTGCTTGGCCATCCTCCGTTAAGGCAGTAAGATTTTCAGGAAGTATTAATCCAACAGCCCCTAACTTCTCCCGCAGCATTCGCCACAGTTGTTCCATATTCTGTAAGGCTTCTTCTGAGAGTTTTCTCTTTTCAATCTCCATCAACAAGGTCAGCCTCATTTCTCGTAGCTCGGTCTCAACCTCGTTAAGAGAACGCTGTGCTTGTAGCCCACTATCAGAAGAGAGTTCTAAAGCAAAATAAAGAAAGGGGAAAAACAAACCATCAATACCATATGCTAGCAAATGCAAATACACTTATGCAGATTTATAGCCACAACTGACAAGCTGAACTAACAAATAGGGTAGCACCGTAGCATACAAAAACACATCCATTCTCCATTGAAATAATTACATAATATACGTCATTTATGCCATAATTATTTCACAGTCACACTCAATCTATCTTCAATTGGCTGCTAGCTATGCATAATATTTCAGAGCACTAATAGCATTGCTCGTAAATAAATGAAGCTCTATCTCAAACTAAATGACTACTTTGCAAAACCTACAAATGATAATCACCAAGGCAATCTGATATCTGTCATAATGTAATCCCATGAACAATAACTTAACTTTCAGCTCTATTTAACCTAAATTACTCCAAAATCAACCAGAAAAAGAAACCAAACTTATGACTTTTTAGAACTAGAAAACAGATCCTCACTATAGCAACCATTTTTTTCTTAAACCCAAAGGTTGCAGCACATCGATTTGACAATTTATTCAATATAATGTATCTTTCAACCTAAAAGCTTCAAATAACTCTCCCTTCTATAAAAAGTAAGTTAAATCATTATCACTATAAACTACAGTTGTACAATATTACAGAATTATAGAGCTTATTGTGAGAAAAAGCCATGATTAAGTTCTAAATTCACCAAAAACAAACCAGTGGGACCAATCTTAACATTCCAATTTATCATTTCTCCCTTCTTTACCTTTGCATTACTAAACTAAACAAAGTAGGGCCATAAGATAATGCTAATTCTATAATACTACACAACAACATGCTCAATAAAACACAATCACATACCAAAACCAAATAATTCGATGAAAATTTCCAAAAAAAAAAAAATATTTACCTTCCCAAGCATCGTAAAACTCTCCTCCCATGGGAGTATTACCCCTAGCCGACCTCTCACCACCGTAATCCTCGCTATCAGCCGAAGCCGAAAAACTCATAGATTCCTGCGGGTCATAGAAATCTTCACTCTCACAATTCTCTCTCACCAAAACATCCCCATTAACTTCAGCTTCCTCAGCCTCAATCTCGGGTACCAACCCATCATCATTCGATCCATTAACCATCAATTCATCATCAAACTTCTCAATTTTCGCCTCAATCGAAACGTTTTCCTCCGAATGACTTCTTACATGCCCCCCTTCCAAAGCAACAGCAGCCTCCGCCGCTACGTTCTGGTCGGAGAGGCTCTTAAGCAAGCGCGGGCCCCGCCTTTTGTGGTTGATTAGAAAAGGAGAAGACGGAGGAAAGGAAGAGGTAGCTGAGTCAGGGATAGGTGTAGGTTCCGGCGTAGCGTAAAGCGACGGATGTATCTGCGGTCTTGCCGACGGCGGCGCCGTCGCCGGAGATGAGGTGGAGTTCAGACGACGTAGCTGAGGATGCGGCGGTGGTATATCCTTCCTTCTAGAAAATGATTTGAGATCGTCAACCGGTAACGACGTTGTTTTGCGTGAAACATCTGAAATGTTGTTAGACGACGTCGTTTTGGAAGCTCCTGGTTCCAGAAACCGATCGAATTGTATTGCTGCGAAGGTTGGCATCGTCTGATTCCAATCTCTGCAATTTCAAAACCAAAAAAATCAATCGAAATCTGGAAAATTCGAAAAGAAGAAGATTCATTCAATTGAAGAAAACAATTGAAGAATCTGAGATTGAATCTGGAGTAATTACCTGGGTTGTGGAGGAGAGAGAAAGTGAAAATGGAGGGGATTTGAAATGGAAAGAGAACCCTAGAGAAAGAGGAAAAGGCGGTGAGAAAGAAGAAGAGGGAAAGAGGGTTGAAAACGACGCGTTTTGATTCTCCTTAAGTTTTGGAGGTGTTTGTGTGTTACTTCTTCTGTTGGCTTTTGAATGTTTGTTTAATTTTAAAGGAGAAGAAGGTTCTGAATGTGAAAAGACTGAAATGCCCTTAGGTGGGAAGGAAGAAGAGGGGGGAATGAGAAGGGTAAAAATGGGGTTTTTGGTGAGAAAAATTGGAAATGTGTGAGGTAATAAATAAAGGAAGGAGACTTGGGGAAAAAGACAAGAAAATGTGGATGACGTCAGGAATGAAACGGTGTCGTATAGAAGGGGTTTGGGTTGGGTAGAATCTTGGTTTGTGGCCAAGAGTGTGGGGGGAATCTTGAGCGAAAAGAAAGTGAGTCACGGTATTTTTATGAGAGGGAAAAAAAAACTCAACAGTTTTAATTTTTTTTTTTAATTTTAATTTTTTATAGTAAAAGAAACTACTCGTAAGAAAGTGTGAGGTCCAACAAGAAGTAGGTGGCAACATTAGGTTCCTTTAAATTTTTAAATTTTTAGGAAAATGAGTATGTATATTTCCACGTTTTGAATATTTGACTAAGCTACGATTTTTTTATTCATACTTTGAAATACGGAGTATTTTGGAATATTGTGAATACACTTCTGTTACATAAGCCATATTTGACTTTTCATTTTTCCATGGGCTATTTCTATAAATTATTTTAAATTTATTAATAAGTAAACTTCATAGTATTTATATAATTTAGGGTTTTTTCATTTTTACCACCTTCAAATAATGACTTTGTCGAATTTACCACCTCCAAAAAAAAAACATTTACTTTACCACCTCATAAAAAAATTAAACATCAGTTTTACCACCTCATCTGAGCTCAGGTGACGGAAAACGCTTGTGGGGCCCAGCATAACGGCTAGTTTTTGATTTTTTTTCCAAATTTCTCTCGATTTCCCTTTTATTTAAACCTAGTTCTTCATTTGTACACCAAATTCTTGCAGATTGGAGATTAATTTTTGCGATTTTCTTCACAAATCAGTATTTTTGGGCAACCTTAACAATCCCAAACCCTCTAATTATCAAACAATCAATTGGACTCCTCGACAACAAGCATCAAATAGGTAAGCCATTGTCGTTAATTCTCTAGCAATTTTCGTGATTTCTGTTGTAATTTTTTGGCAATTCGTTGCGTGATTATGTTGCATTTGCTAAGAGTAATTGAAATTGGGCGTTTTGTGAGGTCAATTAAACCCCAATTTGAATTAAAATACTTAGGGTTCATGTAAGATTAAATTAGATTGGGGGTTTTTGTTATGTGAATTGGCTACTGAAATTAGGGTTATATTATGGTCATTGTGTTCAAATACAATTAATTTCATTCTTGTTCTTACTGAATTTCAGAAGGGAATGTCTTCAGTTAGCATGTCACCCTCAAAGGAGAAAAAATGCCAATGTGGAGTTCCAATGTCTAGGCTGACTGCTTGGACTAGGGAGAACCCAGGACGCAAGTTTAGGACCTGCAAATTCTATGATCCTGTGACTGAGTCAAGGGGGGTGTAAAGCTTTTGAGTGGGTGGATCAACCAGATGGAACACCTTGGCAAACAGAGGTGATTAACAACTTGCTGCTGGACAAGAAACTAATGAAGGGAGAGCTGAATGACATGAAGAGGGAAGTTGATGATGTTAGTGGACAAAGGAGGTGCTTGCTCAATGAGATTGACAGCTTGAAGATGAAATGCAAAGCTCTTAGCTCAGACAGGAAGAAGATGATCAAGGAAGTGCATGGCAGCAATGCACCAACAAAGAAAATGCTCACAGTACATGCTATTGTTGTGTTTTGTTGTTTTGGTTTGGTACTGGCTATGTATTTTAGATCTTAGGTTCATTTAGGAATGCTTAGAAACAAAAAAAATCCCCAACTTATGTTGTGTTTTGTTGAATTATTATGTGTGGATGTTGGGATGACATTTCTTGTACTACTTTTAACAAAATCAATGAGAAATGGAACTTTTTGGTAGAAACATATCACAATTCGTATTAGTACTTGCAACACAATGTTTGAAATTGTTTTACATTGGCTGAGACAAAAGTTAAGGCACCTTTGTGCAAAATCATTGTTCAACTATCATTGTTCTATTACAAAATACTAATGAGTAGACCTAGGGTCACAGTTGATTGAGATCCTTGTCCTTCTTGCTTGTCATTACATGAAGCTTGGACCTGGTCTGTATTTTGACTTTGGGAGGAGTAGTTGTTGGCACTCTTGTGGGCTGACTCAGGCTCCTGTTGCTCCTGGTAACAGGCTGAGTTGGCAAAGGCTTTGTTCTTGTTGCAGGCTGGCTTGACACAGCATTTGCAGGTGCAGCATTACTTGACCCAGCCTGTGCTGTTGTTGGAGGCTGATATTGTGGCAACTTCAGTGCAGCCTGCAATCACAGTATGACAAGACTCAGAAACAAAGCCACTAAATACACTCAAGTCACAAAATACACAAAATACATGTCTTGCTGCTTTCTCTTCACTTTTCTTTCTCTGTTCCTTAAGCCAAGGAGTCTGCATCTGTGGCCTCCCACCCTTTGGATTTGTTGCAGGTGGGTTAGGCTGTTCTGGTGCTGCTTCAGCCTTGCATGTTTTGGCAAAGTGGCCAAACCCACCACAGTTCTTGCATTGTTTCATCACCTTTGGCTTCTTGCCCTCAGGTGCTGCAGAAGTGCCCTCCCCTGGTTCAAGCTTTCTCTTATTTGCCTTAGGTCTTCCTGGCTGCACTTTCAGCATAGGTGGCAAAGGCTGTCTGAGCTTGACCTTTTCCCAATTCTTAGGGCCAGGCATTGGCTGTATAGGGTTCTCATATGCAGCCAAGTATGTCACCCTATAGTAATGTGGGTGCACATACAACTCAGGATCATCCCTTTTGTCCATTATGCAAGCAAATGCATGGACACAAGGTATTCCTGTCAACTCCCATCTATAACAAGTGCATTTTCTCTCTTGCAGATCCACAATGCACTGATCATCCTTGTATTTCACCTCATAAATTTCATCCCTTGAAGCTGTAACCTCACATGTCATGGCATACTTCTCCAACCCAGCAAAGACTTTGTTGACAAATGGGGTTAGTAAACCTTCCCAAGACTTTGCTGCCTCCCATTTGTCATTACTCCTCTTCATCATATATCTTCTAAGCCATTCCATTTGAGTTAGAATAGGCTTGTCTCTGGCATCTCTAATCACTGCATTAAATGTCTCACACATGTTGTTTAACAACATGTTAGACTTGCAGTTTGTAGAGAAAGCATGCCTTGACCAGTGCTGGGGGTCAATGTTTGACAACCACTGGTATGCTTCTTCATCCAAAAAATTGATACTTTCCATAGCAACTTCAAACTCAAACTGATACAACCACACACATGACAACCATTCAACACAACATAGACACATGGCATACAGTTTTCACAAAATAGAAAGACATGTAAATATGTGCAAAACTAAATGTTCCTAGCATACATTATAGTTCACCATAAAACTGACATAAAAGAACCTAAATAGAAGCTTACCAGAGTGCTTGCCCTAGCAGCAACCCAGAACAATTCCTTGAAAGTTGCACCATGAAATTTCAGTTTGAAATTTGACCAAATATGCCTCACACAAAATCTGAGCTCAGCTTTGGGGGCCACATCTGCAAATGCTTCTATGAGACCCTACACACAAGGCAAAACTAACAAGTTAGTGTACAGAAAATTCAAATAAAGCAAAGTAATTTAAACACAAACACAACCCACTTACTTTCTGTCTGTCAGACATAAAAGTCAAGCCATCTCCTTGGTCATACACACAAAGTGCCTTGAGCAAGCTCTCCAGAAACCAGCACCAGTTGTCCTTGTTCTCAATCTCTGCAGTTGCCCAAGCAATTGGGAAGATGGAATTATTGCCATCTTTTCCAACTGCAACCAAGATCTGCCCAGGGTATGCCCCTTTTAGATGGCACCCATCCACCCCAATTACTGGTCTGCAACCAGAAATGAATCCATCACTAAGTGCAGCTAAGCACACAAACATCCTCATAAAAATTGGTCTTTCAATTTGATTAATATCATCCACCACCACATTACACTCACTCCCTGGGTTCCATTTCAGCAGTGCCTTCCCATAGTCCCAAACCTTTGAGTATTGCTCTGATGAAGACCCATATATTATAAGCTTTGCCCTGCTTCTAGCCAACCAAGCCTTGGAGTATGTAATTTTGATCCCCAAGTCATTCAAGGCCCTGTCCTGAATCTGTTTAATCTTCCATCTGGGGTTGCCCCTGAACTCCTCCAAGTACCTGCCAACAAGGAACTCTGCTGTCACCTTGTTGTTCATTTTACTCCTAACACACCTATGCTTCAGCCTTAGTGTCTTAATTTGCCAAGCCTCTGATTTCACAAGCCTTGTTGCATAAAACTTGAACCTACACCTAACACCCTTACTACATGTACACTTCACTATCCTACAACTGTTCTTGTTATACACACACTTGCATTTCCTTTTGCAATATGCTGTTAGCCTCTTTGAATCATTGTGAAGAAGGTAATACTCATACCTATTTTCAATTGCATGTTGTCTCAAAGCTTTTCTCATTGTTTGCACATCACTGAACCTTTGACCAACTACAAATTTGATAGCCCTTTCAAAGTCTGTCTCAGGGTTAAACCAAGTAACACTACTCTGATCATCATCTGAATCACCTTCCACACTCTTTAGCTCATCAGAATCACAAGTTGCCTTCTCTTCAACCCTCACTTCAATGTTCTGTAGATTTCTTTCTATGTCAAACCCTGTGTCCTCATCATCACTTTGATCCCCTCCTTCAGTAACTCCCCTCAAACTGCCTTTCACCTCACTGTTAATATGGTCTACATTTTTCTTCAACCACTGTTCATCATCATCAGAGTATAAGTCCTCCTCTCCCTCATCAACTTCTAACTCAAAATCACTCAACTCAGAATCAGAAGACTCTGTATCACCATCCTCATCACTAAACACATCACTGTCATCCCTTAATCTCCTCACTCTTTCTTTTATTTTTCTCACTAAATTAGCAAAATTTCCAGTCTCATCCCCAACCTTAGCCTTACCCTTATCTGCAGCAGTGAGTTTACCCTTCCCTTTATGTGTATTAGCATTCACTTTCTCTGCCCTAGGAAGCCTCTCCTCAGCCTCTCTGTCATGTATAACAATGCCTTTTAACCTAGGGCTTCTCCTAAATGGTTCTTCTTCAGTGGGCTTACTAAGTTCTGGGCTGGGTTTGTATACTTTAGGCCCACCAAACCTCTTTTTCAGTTCCTTCCTTTGTGCAGGGGTTAGCTCATTCCCAGATATACATTTGAAGGGTGTTTTGTTAGTCCCTTCAATTGGCTCATGACTGGTAACATACATCTCACATGCCCCCTCTTTGTTCACCGACTCTAGGAAACCATTCACCTCACCATCAACAAGCTCCCTTTTACCATTCACCCAAGACTTGCCCTTTTGTTTATACCAGCAACTAAACCCCCTAGGAACCTTCACATTCACATACACAAACCCATGTATAGCTGCTTGCCTCAAAAAGTGTACATCTATCTTATTTTTTTCCACCTTTCTCATCCAATAAACCCACCCACCATCCCAAGTTAACACCCTCCTATTTTTACCAGCTAAAGAAGGTATAAAGGCACCCCCTACTGTAATTTTTAAGTCCACTGTGTCCATTCTGTAACAACACCAACAAAAGCACACACAACAATAACCAATTTCAGTAATTACAATAAACAACAAAAACCAATTCACCAATTACAACAAGTAAAAGCAATTCACATTGACTATGCACTAAATTAACAGTAACCAAGTAAATCTAATTAACTAATTATTTAACAAATGCACACTCTAATTCAGTCAAAGATTCGCATAATTAGGGTTTATAATACTTTAATTCACAGATTCCCCAAAAAGGCATACTTTACCCCAATTGACAACCATAAATCCAACGAAATGTACTAATAAAGGGTTTAAAGTACCTCTTGTAGTCAGGAATCTCGATTTCTGTCAGCAAATTACCAAGCTTTTGGTCCCCTCACCCTGTGGAAGATGACAAGAGAAGCTGATGTATTGCAATTTTGTGGTTCCAGCTCGATTTCAACCACCCAAATTGATCTAGGGTTTCAGTTTTTACAGAGAGAAAGAGAAAATTCAAAGGAGAGAGAAGCAGTTACAGTGAGAATCAAGAAAAATCAAAGGAAAGAGAGACGAAAATTGATGAGGAAGTGAGAAATTTGGTGAGACATTGATTATGGAAGGTGGAAGGTGAGAAAAGGAGGAGACAGAGGGAAATCGATTTTAAAAGAATTAAATTGGAGGGAAGTGACAGTTAACTGGGCCCCACAAGCGTTTTCCGTCACCTGAGCTCAGATGAGGTGGTAAAACTGATGTTTAATTTTTTTATGAGGTGGTGAAGTAAATGTTTTTTTTTTGGAGGTGGTAAATTCGACAAAGTCATTATTTGAAGGTGGTAAAAATGAAAATACCCTATAATTTATTTTAAAAGTGTTTTTAGGTATATTTGAATTTAGAAGGTCTATATCATGTCAATTCATTAAATACCCAATGACTAATTACATGTAATCCTTTACAAATTATAGATTTATATGAAACAGAAAAATGGCTCAATTTTTTGTGCTACAAGAGTCAAATTTTTGTTTTTCCATAAATTAGATTTGCTATTTGTATCTTTAGTAGTATACATCTTTTACAAATAAATCATAGGTTTAGCTTATTTTTATAATAAATTCACGAGAATTTGTTCATAACTTTTTATTAAAAGAAATGATCATGAGAAAATCCTTGTTCGTGAGTTAAAGCAAGTGGATGTAGATGAAATACAAAAAAATAATCCTCAATGAGCATGTTTATTGACAAGCTTTTCCCAACTTATAATAATGCAAATGAGCAAAATCTAGTTAAGTTCAAACAAAGCTCAAATCATACAATGATTTTAAAAGTTTGTTTGAGCCCAAGCTATCTCAAACACTAACAATTCTTCTCAATCTCAATTAGAACAAACTAAAAATTGGTTTGATTTGTAGTTGTAGTTGCTCATGCAAACTAATTGAGAAAGAACTTTGTTAATGTTATCATCCTTCTCGATTCTTACATGGTAAAATCAGCACTCCCGTGTAAAAAGTAGTTATATTGATTGTATTGTTGTGATCTTATGGGAAAAAAGGTTGGTGGTAGTCCTAATAGGTAGGTTGCAATTGTGTCAACTTCGATTTAAATAAATTTTGGAGATAAATGACAAAATTAAGACTTTTGGGTTAAAAGTTAAAAAATTTAAGCTTTCTTTGTTAAAATTTATGTGTTGCATTTTAGTATTTGTAATTGTTATAGTATTGTTTACTCAATATTGTATGGTACATCATACATTATGTAAATTGAAATATATAAAATTCCTAAAATAATACAACAAGCAATAAAAGTTATCACCATATCACATATCATGGCAAAGCTTAACCAAGTTTAAAGTTGTCATCCCTTGGAAAATTTCAAATGTTGAGATTGCTTAACTCTCTCTTATTGACCAATTTGTTATATATTCGGCTTGCCTTTGGGTATATAAGTATACAACCATACAATAGGTAAAGTTAGTTGTAGTTGTCAAGATGATGGTGATTTTAGATGTATTCAAATGAAATGCATCGCATAAGTAAACACTGGGTAATGACTAATTATCGTAGCTTACTTAGCATGTTGAGTATGATTTGAAGATTGAGTTCCAAAATATAAGATGCTTGAGATAATCCATAATCAAAGAAAACATTGCCCACATTTTCACCAAAGAAATAAAATCAAAGCATATATCAATATAATGTTGCTATTAGCTATCTAGAATGTCATATATACAAGCTAAGTCATATAGTTGTTCACCATTACTCTTGACTTAGAAGTTGCATATGGGAAATGAAGAATGTAAGTGGCAAGAGTGAAAAGCCAACGACAGCATATAGTTGGAACTTGGAAGTCACTAAATTAAAGAAGAGCACATGCAAATTCACATCAAAGTATCACTACTCACCGACCTTATTTGTCAAAATTCTTGAAGCTCCATACCATCTTGTCCACTGGCTTATTATATTGCTGCAAATAACAGGATAATCATAATTCAGAAATATGGCTATAGCTAAACCAAATCAACTACTCTTGGTTAATTACTAGACTAGAAAAGTTTGGGTCCTCGATTGTCTAGAAAAGTTATAATCAAACCATATAGGACAAATTGGCTAACTAGACTAGGCACCAACTTATAATTCAACTTACAATAATAGACCGAATACCCTGTTATTCTCATCTTACTTTCATTGCACCTAACTTATTTTTACTCATTTTGATTAATTTTCCTTTTGTTGAAACTAACGAGTATTACAATAAGGCAAATGATTTTTCTATAAGTCGGGTTAATTAGACACTCAGATTGCTAATTGGTGTCTGATCTCCATGTAATGCCATACTAAGGCCAAGATCGAAATTATTGATAATGACATTTTTTTTTTATACAAAGTAGATATTATTTACAACAGAGTTAACCTTAATTCACTACAAAATCTGGGCTCTGATAACAAATTGAATCAAGTAAAGGCAAACCTATAGAATATTAGAATTCATAAAATTGTTGCTCTACTTTTTCAACCAATAAAAGCAACAAAATTCCCAGTATGTACACACTAAAAAAATGAAATTTGAACCAACAAATGAAATAAGAGTACCATCCATAACAAAGTTAATAATCCATATTCACTTGTAATAGATTGCAGGTGAATTTGTATCCTTGTTCCACACCCCTCCTTCTTTCAAATACTCAATATACCGCGAAAAATCCGGGTTCGCCGTCATCTTCTTCTTCCTCCACTTCCCATCAAACAAACTAAACACAGGGTGACTCTTGCCACTTTTTTTACTCTTTGCTGGCTGTTGTTGTTTTGGCTTAGAGTTTTTTCCTAGATGACCCGTTTCGAACTCGAGTTTCTTAGACGAGGACCCGAATAACATGCTAGCAGGAACACTAGTAACCCTCTTTAACACAGCATGATTTGCACCACCACCACCAGTACCAGCACAACTATAATCATTGACACCAATCGTATTAGTCTCGTCTAAAAGCCTGTCATACCCATCTCGACGACTTCTTCTCGTGCTCAAAGCTCTAAACAAAGCCATTATTATTAAACTTGTGTCTTTGGTGTTGTTCTTAGACAATTTTTTTAGTAAATTGTCTGAAAATACCAAAATGTTGTAGGTAGAGAAATGAAGATACAAGAAAAAGATAAGTGGGTGAAGTAATATCATATAACTATATAAGGGGGGTTTGATAAAATATTATATGCATAAACTTTGGTCGTATTTGGTATGCTTGTTGAATTAAATATAATTAGGGCCCTTAGATCATCCAAATTTGACTTATTGTAAATTTGTAATATTGTGGACAACTAATGTGAAGAAAATAATATAAGTAACATTTATCCTAGTGACAAAGATAGCATGGGAAAATCATATTTGGCCCACATTTAAGTATGTATGCAACTAATTTCATAGAATTATGTCAAAGTTAGTATTAAAAGAGAAAAGGAAGAGACCAAAAGGCATGAAGTTAGAGTAGAGTTGTTGGGGAGGATTAGTAGTGGGTAGATATATTAGTACGAGTATTAGATTAATTAATTTTGAGTTTAGACTTGTTCATAGTAATTTGGAAACATAGACAATAATATTAAATTAGAGTGCTTATGAAAGTAATGATTATATGATTATATCATTTAAATTAATAATGGAGATGCAAGAAAATAGTCGGCCATAGAAGCAAATTTTACCAAATTGATGAGCAGCAGTTTGTGATCAGAAGAGTAGCTATGTCCGATTTTGTGTTTTCGTCTAGAAGTTAGATGATGTAGTAAATTAATCCAAGTCAAGTTTAAATCGAGTAGCTTTTAATTCAAATCGTTCACAAATTAAGACAATTTAATGGTTGATTGGAAAATAATTACGAAGTATTCGTAATATATTTATTGAGTTGTGGTTTATTTTATTTTCTTGTTTGATTGCAAAATGACATTCGTGAATACACAATTCATACTTTATGGGTGAAACTCCTTACTAAGTCAACACTATCATTAAAAAGTTACAAGCCATTTGTTTGATCTACCTATACAAAAAATCCCATTTTGGTAAAGATTTTCCATCATACATCAATTATACTTCTCCTATTAGACTACTGTTTCTACCATGTTCTCATTAGATGCTCCCATAACAATTTTCTCTTTCCCTGTTCGATATTAGTTAGATTTAACCATAACAATTTTCCTAATCTTGAATCACAATATATAATATAATCAGTTGATCACTTGTACTTTACTTTGAACTTAGAAGTGGACTTGGTCATATTTAATAAAGATGCACGATTACTTTGTCAGCTTCCTTCTATGTTTTTTAATTTATAAAAATAATGGTGAAATGCTCAGTGATTTATTCAATACCCATTTCATATTAATATTATGCTTCATACAAAAAGCTATCATATCATATATATAGTAGAAGGTTTGACTTTAGAGCAGATGTATGGGAAAAGTTGACACAGGCCACACGTAATTGAATAGCCTTTGCTAAATACCTAGTCTCAAAGAATTCTTTAATACGTAACTCTTAGCTATACATTTTTATCATAAATTTTAGGTGCGTGGAAGAAACATGAAAAACGATACAATTTCCAAAATTAAATGCATATTGATAGACCTAATGAAAATGAAATAGGTACTCAACCTCCCACCTCTCTATTAAAGGTTGGAGGTTCGACTCTCACCTTCCTATCAAATGGGGTGTCACAAGGTAAGATGTTCGGTTGCCAACCTTTGATTCGGGTTATAGCCAATGGATTTGGATCTCTCCTTCCGCCTCAACCCTGGAAGCGATATTGCCCTTCCAATGTCGCAAGCCAACAAATAACCAACCAAGATACATAATGAAAACTCTATTTCAATCTTCGTCAAAACAAGGGTAAGAAGTCATATCACTAGCAACACATTCTTAAAATACATTTTTAAAACTTTAGAAAGCTCGTACAGTATTACATTATCAATAAAAGAAAATATTTTATAGGTTAAGATATACTCCGTAAGTCTTTTTAGGCCGACACAACATAATCATGGAATTGGTCAAATGGATTAGTGTGTGACTTACTACACAACATAATCAGATAGTAGAAAGAGCAAGAAAACCAATTACTTATCCTAGTGGTATACATAATGCTGGGTCTAATAATTGTCATGGAAAGTTATGATTTTTTCTTTCATGCTAACCCTCAATTTTTGAATTTTTATGCTTATCTTCCGGCAAAGATCACATGACTATGATTCTACTTTGAGATGGAGATATCATGTATCCCCAAACCCCATCACGCCAGAAGTGACTTCGTCACACCCATTCACATTAGCTGGTGTTCAAAAGTCCCGACGATTGAGTCCAAAGGTAAATGTATCGAAAACTCACTGGTTTCAGTCAGATTGGCATTAATGGCATATACTTTGTATATAGCAAGAATTAGAAATCTAGCTTGGAACATAATATAGTACTCCGTACATAGCAATAGGGCTATAGGAAGATATGAGCTACTTCTATTATGTAGAACTCATAAGCATAATCACCTGATACTTTTGTGTGATCCCAAACCAGACAAGAATTAGCGGCGGATGCACCTTAAACCTGTGCTTCTTTCCTTCTGTGAAACAGCACAGATCAGCTTCTACATTCTAAAGATATCTTCACAAGACTGATGGCTATACATATATACACTTTCAAAAGTATGAAATACCAAATACATAACCTCGGCTCTTAATAGCCTACTCTATTTCTCCTCTGAGTTGAATCTGTTCCAAGCTTCCTGTTCAATGGAAGGAAAAAGGTGTACGAGAGTTACATGATGTTAAGAGTAATAAAATGACAGCCCTAAATTTCCTCCAAGTACATGAGAACAATAGATTAGTGGTAAATGGTAATTGAATAACTTACTCATATAAACCCGAAAGAGCAACACACCAGAAGGAAAAAAAAAATGACAGACATTTCATCAGATGATGACAGAACATTTACGAGTGAATGCAGACATTTCAATTAGGATTCAGCACCACGAACTTAACACTTGCAAAACTTCCAAATATTAAGGCTAGGCACATCATTATCCAAGCAGGTAATCTGGACTGATATTGGCACTTGGGAGGGACAAAAGAAAAAGTTGCACTATATACAGCTAATTACTGCTTTGGCTCCAATCTCAGAAGGCAAGTTTAAATAGTAACCGAAGTAACAAATGGTTCAAAGAGATACGAAGCATAAGGAAACACACCTTCAGGAGATCAAAAACCTTTTCACATATATACTTCTGTTGGACAGTAGCACCGCGCTGTTGTAGTTTGTCAGGATGCACGCAAAGAGTGGCTTTCCTGTAAGCTTTTTTCACCGCAGCAGCAGTTATTACTTCTGTCAGCGGAATTGGCTGCCAACCGCTATCTGGCCCAAGGATCTGCCAATGCAAAATAGAGATTTAAGTTATAACATACTTTGAGCTACATGCTTACATGGCTACATCTTAGATCTTTCACATGCTCCACCTTTTAAGAGGAGCAATCAATGAAATGAACAAGTTGCCTACAAAATAACATACTCTCGAAGCAACAAAATTTCAAAGATGGATATTAGATTACTAGGTCATGAAACAGGAGGAGGTTAATAAAATGACCAAATATTGTATAGTTCACACAAACATAAAATAGGTAAAACACAGCATTACACTGTAAGCTACCTGAATAGTTTATAAATAGAAGTCAACAAATTCACATAAACATCAATCTATCAGAGCAAAAGTTTCTCAAAAGTATCAATCACCAGAAATTTCTGATGGTTGATCAAGGAATTTGTCATTACTATGACTTCTGAGTATGCAAGGGAGAGATCAATTTCAACAGGTATAAGTGATTTGGTGGTAGTCTGAGACTAAAGATTGATCAAGTATAATATCATGTCTGAGCAAAATGAAGCCTCTGATGGCTTTCAAGTTCAATAATTTGATGCTGTGTTTTCATCTTTTGATCAGCTAACTGAACAATTCAATACAAAGAGAAGCAAATTGACCCACAACCCAGATGGTCAGACAAGGAGCCAGAACACAACAATTGTTGAAGAACTAGAACAGCTATGCAACAGTTGACATTTTGTGTACACAAACAGTCAACGCATATAAAAGAATTCAAAGCCCGAATAGTCTGCTGATGTAAGAATGGTCAATTCCTAACCGCGGTCCAGAAAATTGAGTAGCATACATACAACATTGATATGACATGTATATAATATAAACTAGTATACATACATATTGTAATGTGGATAACAAAGCTCGCAAATTGCCTTCTTTGCCACCAGACCATCTTCTGATATCGGCATCAAGAGTTTCAGCAAACCGCTGGTAATAAATAAAAACCAGGATAATGTAATCCATTGAAACACAATTCTTCAAATATAAAATATTAACTTTTCAGATAGGGACATAAAATACTCACAGTCCTCTCTGCTTGCTCCCTTTGAGCAAGAAGATCACGCATATTCTTTTCCGCAAGTGCTTTTGCCTGAAACATTGAAACAAATTTGCAGCAAACTGCTAGATAGTAATCGAGTACAAAGAAAGAATATAGAAACTTACCACCCGTTCCACTGTTCGTCTATGTCTCTCTAATCTGGCCTTGCACCGTTCGGCAGGTTCGCCATTAGCTGCTTCGAACCTCTCACTACTCTACAAATCCAATTGCAAATGAATGTGAATATGAGAGTTATGAGACTAAAAAATTTAATGAACTGGCGTTCAAAAGAATGATTACATAGCAATATACTCACTGTGGGGAAAGAGCTCTGCCTCATGATCACATCTCTCTCCGATGTATACTTTTCAGAAACAGATCTTTGAATTCTTTCTCGTGCCCCAAGAGTAGCCCTCTCAGCCACTGCTTTCTCAATGGCACGTTGTCGAGCTTCTGCATTTGCTCTCTCTACTGCAGCACGCTCTGCCCTCAATTTGGCCTCTGATGATGCCTTGTCAGCTAGTGACCTATCCCTAGCCTCTGCACAGGCCTTCTCTAACCTCTCCCGGGCCTCCGTCATTGCTCTTTGCCGTGCTTCATCCGTTGCCTTTTCTAGAGCAGCCCTTTCAGCCCTGTCTCTGGCATCTGCATATGCCCTATCACGGGCTTCACGTACTGCTAATTCAACTGCCATTCTATCCTTTTCCCTTTCTCTCAATCTCTCTCTCTCTTCCTCGAGCTTCTGAAGACGTTCCTCTTCCAGGTCTCGCTTTTTGTCTTCATCTTTCTCTTCTGAAGTGAAATTATGATTGCTAATCTTCCCCTTTCTTTCAATGCTTTGGCCTATATTAGGCAGGTCAGATATATTCTGGAAATTGTCCTTCCCCTCAGACAGTACAGTATGACCTTCAGGTTCTACCTTACTAGCATGCTCATTAAACCCATTAATATCATCAGCAACTGTGGATCTAGCTTTCTCCTTGTGCACGATGTGGGCCTGACCCTCCCCTACTAGATTTCTCTTTCCTCCTATATCTACATTAGGATCCTTCACCAAATTAGGATTTGAGGCTGACTGCGCAACTTTCCTACTCGCCTCTTTCAGGTTTTGTTCATTTCTAATACAATCAGTACGTGTCGAGGTGTTTTTGTCATTCAAATCAAGTGTTTTTGAGGCCGGAATTGTCCTTCCCTCAAGCTCACATTCATTAGGGCCCACCTGAGCAGCAGTAGCTTCTACTTGTCTTTCATCAATCAGAACATCAGCCGTTTTAACTGCTTCCAACTTGCTTTTGTCATCTGATGGTGCAGAGTCGATCTCTTCATTCCCTTTCTGAGAACTTACATCCTTGGATCCATCAACTTTCATTTGTGACTTCTTAAGTTTACAAGACATATTCAGTTCCACGTCCATCTTGTACAGGTTAGCCCCGTCAGAAGACTTCACATGTTTATCCTTCGTAGGCAGCTTCATATCTGGGGAGCTATGAGGCCCCTGGTTCTCATCCTCCAACTCGATCTTTATGTAACTTTTGTCTTCACCCTTCTGAACTTCCCTGTCATCAGCATTCTCATTGATTTTTCCAATTTTTTCCATCTCAAATCCCCGCAAAGAAGTATGCTTCAGCTCAGTAGTCTTCTCAAGCTTCTCTTTACTTTCATCTTGTTTCTGACCCTCAGCTGAGCTATTGTAGTCTACAATTGGATTAGGATACTCATTAAACCTTTGTCTCCTTGCCTCTTGTTTAGAAGCTGCTTTATTTATCTCAGACTTCTCCAGTACTACACATTTTTCTAGCGGCTTCTTAGATTCTTGGCCATCAAATGCTTGCTCACGATGATTTTCATATTCATCTCTTTGCTGCAAATTTCTTGTCTCGTTTTCTTGGCTTTCAGACACTCTTTCTAACCTCTCCCTGCCAGAGACATCCTCAAAAGCATCCTTCAATCTCTTATCTGCAGCTTTCATTTGCTGCAAGTATCTTGTGTTGTCCTTTTCTTCACTGTCACATGATTTTTGCAATCTATCTCCCATTAAAACATCCACAAAAGTTTCCTCTAATCTCTTGTCCGCCACTTCCTTAGACTCCTTGGTCATTTTCTTCTTATGAGCCTCTGGCTGTCTAGTCTCAGTCCTTGGTCTGTCGCAGGGTTCTTCTGCTTTCTGCTCATGTTCTCCTCTCACTACAGGATCATGCACTCTTAATTCACCCTCATCCCTTTCACATGATCCTCTCATTTCTTCCTCGTTCAATTCAGAGGGGTCATCATGCTTGTCAACCAGTTCACTATGACAAGCCTCACTTTCATTCTTATGCTCTCCTTTCTCAAGCACGGTTACTGATCGCTTCCCAGGTTGTTTATGAATAACCTCACCAGGATATTCCTCCTTTTTTTGAGCTTTGCTAGGTAGAATGTCATTATTTTCCTGTTCATAGACCAACTCAGGTTTCAGCTGTCTTGGATTTCCCTGAGACCTACGCTTCTGTCTTTTGTCAGGTTCCACATGCCCACAGATCACACTGTCATGAACGTCTTGAGCCACCTTGACCATTTTCTCATAGTATTCTTGTCTAGATACTGCTTTTGTTGCTTTTAGCCTTCGCCGATTTTCTCCTGCTACACAAGCCTCCCCAGCCGAATCCGAATCATGATTATCATTGTCCTGCCGCTTGGTTCCTATCTGTGCATCACCATTACTACTGGGTGGTTGAGTAACTAATCTAGTGTTGTCACTATTTACAAATTCATAATATTGCCTAGCCTCCTTCCATTGACCAGCCACATCTGTATCCATGGACAAGCTACTTTTCTTCCCTTGTTTTGTCTCAGCTGGTTTTACAGATCCCGCAGTAGGCTGTTCAACAACCAGGTTATCTGGTAAACTATGTGAGGCAGTTTTATCATGCCTAGTTTTAGCAGAATTTTTTATCTTACCAAGACCTCTATCACTTGTTGCGTGCACTTTGGTCTCTTCAGCCAAATTTTCATCACGTACCCCTTGAACATTACCGCCGCCATTTACATCAGTCTTTAATTGCAGCTTTCCACTGTTCTGAACTCTGTCCTTCCTGTCTCTTGACTCCCGCGCAGCTTTCAGTTTTGCTTGAGCTTTCTCCATTGCATCTTTCATAGCAGCAGCAGAAGCAGCAGCAGAAGTACTTGCATTTACCTCCATGTCAAAAGATGGTGGTAAGTTATAGTTAACATTTGCCTCCAAACCACATCTTTCAGAAGCCATAGGACTTGAATTCATCTCGTGAAATTCTTCATTACTGTCTGTTAACACAGATGGCAGTCTTGATGGAGGCGGCAATTGGAACTTTTGGGACGGTTCTGTTCTGAGGTTGGCATCAGATACAGATGCAAATATAGAATTTATATTAGACATACTATCCACACAAGCTTTTCCAGATCTCTGGTCACTATCATATGAGGCATGAGACATAGTTTCATTTCCCATGCTAATGACAACGTCATCAACAACTGGTGAGCACACATCATTTCCCATCTCTTTCAAAGATGTGGCTTCGTCAAATACACAAGTATATCCAGACACGTCATTTAGTTTAGCTACATGTGTCATGTTTGGCACATATGTGCTGGTTCCCGGATTAACTTTATGGTAAGAAACGTTAAATTCTTGGCTTTCCGAAGGTTGATGAGAGTTTCCACTCTTTTCAGAAAAAGCAAATGGATCTGAATCATCATCAGAGAGAGACTCTGTACCAACTGGGGTCCTGTCCATGAAAAGAAAAGGCAAATGCTCAACACATTATTCATATTAGTGAGTGCACAGAAGAAATAAGAGGGTGGGTAAGAGGTGAAATGAAAAAACAAGCAGAGAGTTGCTTGCAAACTGCCATATGGACTTGTACTAGAAAAACAACCCACCATCATGAAAGATAATTTCTTTTCAAAATTGCTTCAAGATTGTAAAACAAACACTGACAATGTGCTTGGATAAGAAAATCTGGAGAGAGAAGAGAGGGTGGGAGATGGAAGAAGTAAATTTCTTTTCCCTAATATGAGTAATAAACAAAATCCAACCCAACAGAAGTTTAAGAGAAACAATAGTGCATTTCTCCCTTCCTCCTCAGTCCTCCATCCACCATTGCTACGCAGCATAAAATGCATGAAGTCGATGCATAGGCTATAGAGATAGCCCGAACACATGCTAATCTGACAATATGCTACATTTCAGCCTAAACTCATGGTACAAAATATTACAGGCTAGTGATTAAACAACTAAGGTCTCTTCACAATTGAAAATCTGTTGAACTTCTATAACGTCTGTTTTGTCTCAAAATTATTCCTTTTTTTTTCCCAATTCACAATTGGTGATGGATTGTAAAACTACACTTTTTTAAAGCACTAAGCAGTGTTTAATAACTCCTGAATACTCCAGAAATGAACACAAAAATAATCATAAGATTCATAACCAAGCCACAAAACTGTATATCATAAGTTAGAAACAGTGAACAACGCAACTGTCCACATGTAAAATCAACAAATCGGAAATTGGAATTCCAAAGGCGTACGTCACAGCTTCACACCAGTTCTTTTGATACTATCTCAAGCAACTGATTTCCTATCTCACTGGTGATCAGATTCACAACTAAGCAAGACACGAAAAGACACCAAAAATAGACCTGTTTAATAATTAAATCACCCAGCTAAAGCAACAAAAATTGAAATTCTAAGGAATGTATCATTGTTTTGCCACAACCCTCAAACATTCCCTCCTCTTCCCCACCAAACTCGGTACTCCAAAGCTACATGATATCTCATTTAAGATAATGCAAATTAAACACAACACGTCTAAAAAGATCAACAACAAATTAATTAAAAAATAAATTGAAAAAACAAAACTAATTAAAAAAAAAATAAAAGAAAATAAAAAAAGCTGGAATTTTGAAGTCAAATTTCAACTAAACCAAACTAAAAGTAAACGATTACAGGCAAACAAGAAAAAAATTGAATTGAATTTCTAATTCTTCTATGTATCAGCATTGAAAAAAAAATGAAAATAGAAAAGTTCACTAATCAGCAAATAGTGGAAGAAAAAAGGATCATCTAAATTAAAAATAGAAATTAAAATTCGAAACAAAATTTAAACAAAAAAGGAGTAAAATTGAAAGAAGAAGGATAATTACCAGGCTTCATCGGAGGAACCATCGCCGTCACCGTCAGCATCACCGTCGCAAAACGAGCCATCACACGGTCGGAAAAGCTCATCAAAAGGAACAGCAAAATCAACAGCATTAAAACCGCCGAAAACCTCGGAATAGTCGAAAAACGCGGCGGCAGCAGAATGAATGTCGTCAGGAACAGCAGGAAGATCAAGAACAGGAATCGAAGAAGACGACCTTGAAGAAGAAGACGACGACCTAAAAGCGCCGAAAATTTCAGTGTAATCTTCAGGACGAGGAGCTAAAGAAGAAGACGAAGTAAACTTAGGAGGACCACCAAAAACGTCGTCGTATGAAGTATTAGTGAAGAATCCGCCATTGTTGTTGAGGAAGGAAGAAGAAGAAGAGGAAGAAGAAAGAGGAGGCGGTTTCTTCTTGGAAGAGAATGTAGGTGGTCGGGAGGTAGAGTAAGGTCTTTCCATGGAGGAGAGAGAAAGTGAGTGAGTTTTAGAGAGAGAAAGCGAAAGAGAGTGAGTAGGGTTTTGAGGTTGGGTAATGGTAATAGTAGCGTCTCTTTCAATTTCTCTCTCTAAATATTCTACTTTTGCTTTATTAAAAAAAATAAAGGGAAATCTGTAATTGATGTTTTTTTGTGAAATACAGAACTTTTGTTTGGGTTACAGAGGAGTGTGCAGGTGGTAAGGACTTGTAGAAAGGAGTAGGGAGGGAGATGAGGAGACTCAGCCTGCACTTGCATTGGTAAGGTAGAGATTGGTGAAGGGTATATTCGGAATTATTTTATTTTATTTTTTTTTTTAAATGTGTATGTAACTTCTTTGATTTAGGGAATTTGGGAGTAAATTTTTGTTTCTTCATTTGGAGTGATACAACAAATTTGTTCCCTTCACTCTCAACTTTTAAGTATTCCATTTGTTTAAGATTAATCACTATTTCGCTGTACTTTGACTTATACATGCGTCCATTTATGATTTTATATATTATACGGTGTAAATGTAATATCTTTCTTTAAGATTTGTTTTGAATTAGTCCACGGGGGAGAGTTTTCCCAAGAAGGAAGTTCGCAAAAACAATAGCTCTGAAATGCATACATTTGTCTCATACACTATGGGGATGGCGGTACTAATGTGTATGTTTGTTTTATTAATATGTACTATTTAGATACTTAATAAAATAGACAGGGGTTGTAAGGAACATATCAATTGATATAAAAATTGAACAGTCTTTTAAAAACAGCTTAAAAATGAGCGAAATAGGGGTTAGGGGATAGTTTTCAATAGCCGAGGGTTAGGTGTACATACTCATTTAAACGTGCGTTAGAAATGATGCATACATTTTTTTTATACTTCGTATTATCTTTCCCCTTGCGTCAAATACAAAAATTATTTCCCATCAAAAGAAATATACTACACACAAAAAATATTTCCTAGGCTTCCACCATTGCTGGTAATGGATTGGAGGACGTGGAGGTAATGAAATGCATGGATAATTTGTTCTTTATTTTGTATATATGCAATTTAATGATTATTGATTGAGACAGCAAAAACTCATGCACTGATGCATGCCCACGAATTAACAAGACGATTCATAAGAAATTTTTATCATATAATTTTGTTTTCAAGCAGAAATTTTCAGCTGGTCCCGTTAGCCACTCTCTATACTCAAGTTCATTCATTGATGTTAATGTCAAATTTTCACGATACAAAGACAATTTTCTTATTTTAACTTACGTTATGTTAAATTGTCTGGTTATATTTATTGGCCATAAACTTAACTTGTTGATTACATTCGAACTTATTGACCCCAATTTTAATTGAACTTATTAAAGTTGTGTTATGATCGATTGAGTCTTATGACTTATATTTGTACGTATTTTAGTTTATATTACTCCTTCTATTTTTATTTTTATTTTTTATTTTTTTACCACCAACAGTGTCCAAAGTTATATCTTTACAAATATGCTTGTCAAACTATTGCATCTAAAAACCAATAGAGAAGTATATTGCAGTATATAAATTAAATTAATTATATAATCTTAGGATATTGTAGATTAGCATTGGTGAGTATGTATACAATTATAAATTGTGGACATGGGTAAGCGGTTAGGCATTATAAATAATCGTTATCATGTGTCAACATCTCAAACCAATAAGTTAACAAGTTGTTTTCAATGATTAATTAGGAATATGATAAATGAGGATTAGTTGTTAATAGTACATTATTTTTATTGATTAATAAATTTTAGTAGTTGTTACCGTTCCATAATCCATAGGAATTTGCTGGAAGGGTAGGTGTATTGATACCATCATGCAGAACGTGACAGATTTGTTTCTTCGTTTTCTTTATGGAAAAAAAAATATATAATTAATTTCTAATTTTTAATTTTGATTTTAAATTAAATTATGATTTTAAAGTTTTTAAAGGGGTGGTGGCAAGGTGGGGTAGACTGGTAGAGTAGGAAATAATAATAATAATAATAATAATAATAATAATAATAAATAATAATAATAAAAAAAAAAAAAAAAAAAAAACACCAGTTTATTGGAGGAAAATAATAAAAAGTGAGTATAGTTATAAAGTAATACTACGAATTAAAGTAGGAATGTAAGATTATTATTGATTGTAGGACGACTAATAGGAGTATGAGTTTGAGAATAATAAAAGCCTACTGGACTTTTGCTGCATCGTGGTCGGTCGATCCGTCTTTATATACTTCATGCGGATGGATAACGTAGAGATCACATCAATGGTTCTTGTTTATTTTTTAATCCTAAAATGTTCCGGAATAAATAATCGAGTCTCCTACTATATAATAATTGATAAATAGTGTGTTCGATTCATTTGATGATCCGATGATAGTCTGATATGTACTTTCAATATATAAAATAGTAGTGATAAGTGATATAATCTAAAATGAAATACGTATGTATGTACAATGTATTATGCATGCATAATTGTCACACATGAAATGTTCTATGAAACATACAGACAACTCATAGTTAGCAGATAAGATAGTATAGATCAATGTATTACGTCTTTGAAAATACGGGGTAATTTGGTAAGTCACTAAGTTGGTATGAGCAAAAATAATGACCAAATAAAAAGTCCGAATAATAAGACAAGCTAGTATAAGTGTGTTAAGTATAAGTACTACGTAGATGGGGTGAACTGTTGAAGGTACCGAAAGCTGCAGAGTTTGGAGAAAGTTGGCAATTTGCAATATTGGATTATCACCTGACCTCAACCTGTTTCTTGTCCATTATTTCCATTACTTCAAACAAAAAGGAGTGGATATATATGCTTCTGGTTCAATTGTTTCTGAACACTAAAACAGTCTAAAATTTTCAAAATTTAAGGTATTTTGATGTTTGATCATACTTTATAGGAGTCTATTGCAACGATTGAAATTTTTCAAAATTTAAGGTATTTTGTTGTTATTTGATCATACTTTATATGTGTCTATTGCACTGATTGAATTTTTTTTTCAAATTTTAAGGTATTTTGTTGTTTGATCATATACAGTTACTTTATATATATGTGTGTCTATTACAACTTTTGAAACTTGATATAAAATAAGTTTAAACTGTGTTAAAATTTAAGGTATATTGTTGTTATTTGATCATACTTTATATGTGTCTATTGCACTGATTGAATTTTTTTTTCAAATTTTAAGGTATTTTGTTGTTTGATCATATACTGTATACTTTATATATGTGTGTCTATTACAATTTTTGAAACTTGACATAAAGTGAGTTTAAATTGTGTCAAAATAATAAAATAAATAAACGTTACTAAACACTTCATATAAAATAAAATAATATTACGTTCGATAATTATGGAGTATTAGTCAAATATTTCGCATTAACTTTTACGTATATTTAGAAATGGATTAAGTCACATACCTTGTCCACATGTAATACAAATAGTTAAGTTTTCCAAGTATTAATTAGTAAGCTATCTTTTTTTTTTTTTTTTTCAATAATCTTGAGAGATTATTCTTCACAATATTGAGTAATCTGTTGTATAAAATAATATAGTCATAATCGCTAATTATTAGTTTAATGACATACTGTAACAAAAAGTTTTATTAACCCCTTACCCTAACTTTTTGTTGTGCGACAGCGGAAGCAAAGGTCGAAAACAAACAAGAAAACAATAAAGAAATTCAATGCAAACAATAAGAACAACACCAAGAATTTACGTGGTTCACTATCGATGTGATAGCTACGTCCACGGGCACCGAGATCGAATGATTTCACTATAAACTGCAAAGATTACAAAGATGATTCTTGTATTTCTCAAGAACGGCTCTCACTCTGTCTCTCTTGTGTTTCTCTCTCCGTTACCCTAATAATGATAATAGGAAGTTTATATAGTAGTGATTCCTAATTAAGATATACTTAGGTTACAATATCACAATATGATAAATATTAAATTCGTAATCGCTGAAAAAACCCAGATCGCCCGGTCGGGCGAAGGCCCGCCCGATCGGGCGCGAGAACACGTCTTTTCCAACAACCGAAGTACTCCAAAAAACCCCTTCCGCCCGGTCAGACCGGGCAAGGTCTGCCCGATCGGGCGAAGGCTCGCCCGGTCGGGCGAAGGCTCGCCCGGTCGGGCGCGAGAGCAGCTTCTTCAACGAATTTGCCAGGCACCTCTTCTTCTTCCGCCCGGTCAGACCGGGCAATGTCCGCCCGATCGGGCGGACAAAGCTACGAAGTACGAGTCACCTAATATACTTATCAACAATCTCCACCTTGACGAGAACTCGTAGTCAGCAAACGACCCCATCAAGACATAGTGAAAAAACATCTCAAGCCAAACCCGATGCAAGACTCATGCATAAGCCATACATCCCGATAAGTCTTCAACCAAGACCCATCACATACTCGTCTCCAAGTATAACAACTCATAATGCTCCACCTGCATCACAAGCCCCGGGCAAGCTCCACCTTAAGGCCAACACACCTACACCAGGAGCTCCCCAACTTCGCCCCTCAGGGCCTACTACATCACGTAGTAATCAATATTTAACAAGTCTAAGCAATGTTTAAACTTGCTAAACGGAACAGGCTTAGTGAAGAAATCAGCCGGGTTGTCAGCAGTCCCAATCTTCTTCACCTTAATCCTCTTGTCAGTACGCAAGAAATGATACCTGACATCAATGTGCTTCGTCCGATCATGGTGTACTTGATCTTTAGCTAAGCAAATCGCACTTAGACTATCACAATACACTGTAGCAAAATCCTGTGCAATACCCAGTTCACCTACTAGGCCTTTGAGCCAAATAGACTCCTTAGCTGCAGAAGTTAAAGCCATATACTCAGCTTCAGTAGTTGACAACGTAACTGATGACTGCAATGTAGACTTCCAACTAACCACAGAACCACCCAAAGTGAACACATAACCAGTCACAGACCTCCTGGTATCCACATCAGCTGCATAATCAGAATCACTGTACCCAGTGACCAAGCATTCCTTATCATTCCCGTACACAAGACCAATATCAGCTGTCCCTCTCAGGTAGCGAAAAATCCTTTTCACCCCTTGCCAGTGTTCCCTCCCAGGTCGAGCCATAAACCTGCTTACAACACTAACAGCATGCGCAATATCCGGCCTAGTACAGACCATAGCATACATCAAACAACCAACCGCGTTTGCATATGGAACTCTAGACATATAAGACAACTCCTCCTCTGATTGAGGTGACATAGACAAAGACAACTTACAACTAACAGTAGTTGGCGTACTTATAGGCTTCGATTTTTCCATCCCAAAACGAGACAGAATCTTTTCAATGTAGCTTTTCTGAGTCAAGAAAAGCTTACCTCTAGCCCGATCCCTGTAGATCTCCATACCCAAAATCTTCCTAGCTGCACCCAAGTCTTTCATGTCAAACTCCGAGTTAAGCATCTCCTTTAATCTAGCAATATCAGATTTATTCTTTGTGGCAACCAACATGTCATCAACATATAACAAAAGATAAATCATGGAACCATTATCCAGCTTACTATGATACACACAGCAATCATATGAATTCCTGTCAAAACCTTGTGAAACCATAAAAGAATCAAACCTTTTGTACCACTGTCGGGGGGATTGCTTAAGTCCATACAATGACTTTAGCAATCTGCAGGCATAGTGTTCCTTTCCAGGAAC